TCTGAGACACACGCACACACACACACACACACACACACACACACACACACACACACACACACACACACACACGTGCACACACACACACACACACACACACACACACACACAATAATGAAGTGTCAGTTACCTGCTCAGGTGAACACTCGCAGCCTCAGGTTCTGATTGGATATGAGGGTCAGCAGGTGAAGGTGGAAAACAGGTGAGCAGTCAGCAGGAAGCCCCGCCCTAAACCTGCTGATTGACAGCCTGGAGTTTAAAGGACAGTGAGCGAGCGGAAGAACGTGAGGAGATGTTTTAGGAACGAACGAGTTTATAAGATAATAAAATAATATTAAAAAATGAGAAAAGTGACAAAAAAAAGTCACAATTTAAAAAAAGGAGGAAAAGAAAATTAAAGAAATAAGAAAATATCAGAGAGTTAAATTTTCAGAAACAGGGACGTCTGAAGAATAATCTTCAGAAAAACAGAGTCTTTATGTTGAGATAATCCTGAGATTATTCTCTGGTTTGTTGGTTATTCACTCGTTCATTTACTCTCACCTGTTCATACAGTTTAACCCTTTCATGCTCCAGTTTTATAATAAAGAGTTTGTTCTGCTTCTTTTTCTCCTCTGAGGTAAACAGAGAAACAGACTCAGTCCTGCAGCTGAACTTCTTTAATCTTCATCTGTATTCACGCTGAGTTCACAGATTAGAGATTTCACATCAGAATCCAGGTCTGTGTTGATCCTCTTAGTGAGGCTGATCCTGACTACAACAACTCCATTACCCATAAGCCCCTGAAAGCTGATCACAGGTGACACCAGCCCGACCTTCTTTCCCTCAGCGTACGGATCGATCGGCGTTTCAGTCTGAAGATGTTATCTGAGTCTGAGCTTCAGACTTTAGAGGAGCAGTGATGGAGGTCCAGGTGGAGGTCCAGGTGGAGGTCCAGGTTCTGGTTCATCCAAAGGTTCTGAATGTGGTTCTGAGTTCTGGGACAAACATCATGAGAAGAGGATCAGTTCATTGATCAGGTTTAATGATGTCGGTTCAGTTTGATCATTGATGTTTTATTGATAATTTAAATTTGTTTATTTGTCCTGTTCTGATTATTTTTATGTAGCTGAAGGATTATTTTGTTTTTCACTCTTTCATGTCAGTTTTTTATATGTTGTTTTAATTAATCACTGGATTAAGTTGATTTATTATTATAGATTTAGTTTTTATCAGTTTATGCATCATATTATGTAACAGCATGAGAATATTCTATGTAAGGTTGTTTTTAAGTTATATAATCAGTGGATTATTTCCTTTGTTCTATTATGTTTGTTGTGTCATTGTTGTGTAGTATTATTGTATAGAAAGTGGTGATTGTGTTATTGTTGGTGACTCTGTCAGTCAGAAGTTATCGATGTTGTTGGTGTTTAAAGTTGTTGATAACATTGTTAGGTTGTTGACGTTGTAAAGTCAGTGTTAACATTCTTAAGTTGTTGCTGAGGTCGTTAAGTCTTTGTTTTAATTGTAAAGTTGTTGTTGACTTAAAATTTGTAAACATCGTAAAGTTGTTGAGTTATAGTCGTTATTATTGTAAAGATTTTTTAACTATTGTTCAGTTGTTGTTAACATTTTAAAGTTGTTGTAAAGTCGTTGTTGAGGTTGTAAAGTTGGTCCGGTGGGTCTGACGGCGTGTTTCTGTTCCTGTTTCGCGCTCTGATGTTAATTTTAGAAATGTTTGAATATTTATTTTTAATGTTTAAATGTTTGAATATTTATTTTTAATATTTAAATGTTTGAATATTTATTTTTAATATTCAAATGTTTGAATATTTATTTTTAATATTCAAATGTTTGAATATTTATTTTTAATATTCAAATGTTTGAATATTTATTTTTAATATTCAAATGTTTGAATATTTATTTTTAATATTCAAATGTTTGAATATTTATTTTTAATATTTAAATGTTTGAATATTTATTTTTAATATTTAAATGTTTGAGTATTTATTTTAATATTTAAATGTTTGAATATTTATTTTAATATTTAAATGTTTAAATATTTCCGTTTGTCTCTGAGTTTGTTCTCCTGCAGAGTTTCACCTCCTCGCTCCGCAGACATACCTTCATGTCGTTTCTAAACCGATGTCGGGGGCTCGGTGTGTCCCCCCTCCTCACCCGTCCTCCCCCCTGTGGTCCGTGCTCCGCTGAAGTCTCCTCTGAGGAGCTTACAGCTGTAATTAAATCATTAAATTCCTGTCTACGCTCCACAGAGCCCCGCCAAATTGACTTCCCTCAAACCTCATTTTCTATTTGAACACCAAATAATGATTTTCTGCCGCTCTAATTACCCAGATCAACATCTGATCAAGACGCCATCCGGCGGGGGAATTATCACACGGGGCCGGCATCAGACCTCATTACAGGCTGGAGAGCAAAATTATTACATGTTGTAATTGGACGGGGATATTTATCAACACAGAGTCGGCCCGGACGCCGGATCACACGCTCGGCAGAGTTCCTCAAAGTCCTGAGGAGGAGGAGGAGGAGGAGGAGGAAGAGGAGCAGGAGGAGGAGGAGGAGGAGCAGCAGGAGCAGAGGGGTTACCGACCCAAACACTCAGACCTTTGCAGACCGGTCATCAGGAACCTCGGCACTATTTACAGACTGATCACACAGACGTGTTCCTCCGCCGCTCTGATCAGCTGTTCGGTCTGCAGCTTCAAAGAGACAAAAATAACCGACTCACGATAAAGTCCAACCTGGTGGATCACTGAGGACCGGGACCTGGTACCAAAAGCACCTCTGGATCTTTGGGGACCCAAACCCGGCGCTCAGAGTTCCTCCTTCTTCAACGTTCAGTCAGAACATCTGAACGTTCTTCTACATTCTCTCTGCAGGTTCTGATCCAAAGTTCAGAGTTTCTGTTCAGTCCGGTCTTTTTGTTCGCTCGTTCACGTTACAACAACGAATGCGTCCGTGAAGTGACCCTCATGAACACAAAGCAGGACGTGACGCAGCGTGCCGCCAGGAACGCCTGACTCCTCGCTCGGCCAATTCCTGGGTACCGTCCTCTAACGGCGCCCGGTTCTGGTTCGAGTCTTTCTATTTTAGAACTGACCGCTCTCCTCAAATATTCATCAACTCTAAAGTTTCTTCTTTTCTCCACCGGCGGTTCTTCGTTCCCTCGTTCGCCTGTTTGTGTCGTCGATCAATGGTGACGTTTGTCTCATATTGATGACGTAAAGGTCGGATGAACTCGACCTGAGCGTCACACTGCAGTCACATCAGATACATATCTGGATCAGAACCAATCAGAACTGAGCTGCAGTCTGACCGTGGACTCAGAGGGTCTTCAGAGGCGGTGGAGTTGGTGGGTGGAGCAGGTCCTCCCTCCAGTTTTTAATTAAAGGTGACTGACATCCAGCTGGAAAACAGTGAACTGTCCCTTTAACCCGCTCCGTCAGTGAGTCTCTGAAGCTCACGTCTCCTCACAGACGAGGATCACGAGACGTTTGGCGCTCTGATGGTTCCACTTCCTGCTGTCGCTCAGGATCCTGTGACGGCCTCAAACTGCAGCTTCGCCGCCGCGGCGCCAACAGTCCCTCAGTGACGGCGGCCTGATGTCTTTGTCTTCAGACTTCAGAAACGCCAAACCTGGACCAGAACTGAGGCCCGCTGGGACCAGAACACCCACATATGTTCTCAGATGGTTCAGGAGACGAGTGTTTGTTTCAGAGCGACAGGAGGAATAAAAACAGAGGAGAGAAAAAACACGGAGGAACGACTTCATCTTCAGACGACAACCGAGAAAGAGTCCGAACACGGGAGAGGAGAAACAGAGGAGGAGAAAAGAGGAGAAACAGAGGAGGAGAAACGGAGGAGAAACAGAGGAGAAAAAACACGAAGGACCGACTTCATCTTCAGACAATAACCGAGAAAGAGGCCGAACACGAGAGAGGAGAAACAGAGGAGGAGAAACAGAGGAGAAACAGAGGAGAAACAGAGGAGAAACAGAGGAGAAACAGAGGAGGAGAAACAGAGGAGGAGAAACAGAGGAGAAACAGAGGAATAAAAACAGAGGAGAGAAAAAACAGGAAGGACCGACTTCATCTTCAGACAATAACCGAGAAAGAGTCCAAACACAGGAGAGGAGAAACAGAGGAGGAGAAAAGAGGAGAAACAGAGGAGAAACAGAGGAGAAACAGAGGAGAAACAGAGGAGGAGAAACAGAGGAGAAACAGAGGAGAAACAGAGGAGAAAAAACAGGAAGGACCGACTTCATCTTCAGACAATAACCGAGAAAGAGTCCGAACACAGGAGAGGAGAAACAGAGGAGGAGAAAAGAGGAGAAACAGAGGAGAAACAGAGGAGAAAACAGAGGAGAAACAGAGGAGGAGAAAAGAGGAGAAACAGAGGAGAAACAGAGGAAAACAGAGGAGAAACAGAGGAGGAGAAACAGAGGAGAAACAGAGGAGAAACAGAGGAGGAGAAACAGAGGAGGAGAAACAGAGGAGAAAAAAGAGGAGAAACAGAGGAGAAACAGAGGAGAAAAAAGAGGAGAAACAGAGGAGAAAAAAAGAGGAGAAACAGAGGAGGAGAAACAGAGGAGAAACAGAGGAGAAAACAGAGGAGAAACAGAGGAGAAACAGAGGAGAAAAAAAGAGGAGAAAAAACACGAAGGACTGACTTCATGTTCAGACAATAACTGAGAAAGAGTCCGAACACGGGAGAGGAGAAACAGAGGAGGAGAAAAGAGGAGAAACAGAGGAGAAACAGAGGAGGAGAAACAGAGGAGAAACAGAGGAGAAAAAACACGAAGGACCGACTTCATCTTCAGACGACAACCGAGAAAGAGTCCGAACACAGGAGAGGAGAAACAGAGGAGGAGAAAAGAGGAGAAACAGAGGAGAAACAGGAGGAGAAACAGAGGAGAAACAGAGGAGGAGAAAAGAGGAGGAGAAACAGAGGAGAAACAGAGGAGGAGAAACAGAGGAGAAAAAAAGAGGAGAAACAGAGGAGAGAAAAAACAGGAAGGACCGACTTCATCTTCAGACGACAACCGAGAAAGAGTCCGAACACAGGAGAGGAGAAACAGAGGAGGAGAAACAGAGGAGAAACAGAGGAGAAACAGGAGGAGAAACAGAGGAGAAACAGAGGAGGAGAAAAGAGGAGGAGAAACAGAGGAGAAACAGAGGAGGAGAAACAGAGGAGAAAAAAAGAGGAGAAACAGAGGAGAGAAAAAACAGGAAGGACCGACTTCATCTTCAGACGACAACCGAGAAAGAGTCCGAACACAGGAGAGGAGAAACAGAGGAGGAGAAACAGAGGAGAAACAGAGGAGAAAAAAGAGGAGAAACAGAGGAGAAACAGAGGAGAAACAGAGGAGGAGAAACAGAGGAGGAGAAACAGAGGAGAAAAAACAAGAAGGACCGACTTCATCTTCAGACAATAACTGAGAAAGAGTCTGAACACAGGAGAGGAGAAACAGAGGAGGAGAAACAGAGGAGGAGAAACAGAGGAGAAACAGGAGGAGAAGAAGGGGAGAAAAGAGGAGAAACAGAGGAGAAACAGAGGAGGAGAAACAGAGGAGAAACAGAGGAGAAACGGAGGAGAAAAAAGAGGAGAAACAGAGGAGAAAAAGAGGAGGAGAAACAGAGGAGAAACAGAGGAGAAACAGAGGAGAAAAAAAGAGGAGAAACAGAGGAGAAAAAGAGGAGAAAAAAGAGGAGAAACAGAGGAGAAACAGAGGAGAAAAAAAGAGGAGAAAAAGAGGAGAAAAAGAGGAGAAACAGAGGAGAAAAAAGAGGAGAAACAGAGGAGAAAAAAAGAGGAGAAAAAGTGGAGAAAAAAAGAGGAGAAACAGAGGAGAAAAAAAGAGGAGAAACTACAAAAACTAAAAAGTTATTCTCAAGTTTATCTTTGTTCAATCGGAGGATCTCAGCCACAAACAAAAAACAGTAAACTGCTGTAAAAACCTGGACGGTCCTTCACTCAGAGATGAAAACTAAGAACTTTAAAAACAACAAATCAGCTGATCCTGTAAAAACAGCTGATCCTGTAAAAACAGCTGATCCTGTAAAAACAGCTGATCCTGTAAAAACAGCTGATCCTGTAAAAACAGCTGATCCTGTAAAAACAGCTGATCCTGTAAAAACAGCTGATCCTGTAAAATCAGCTGATCCTGTAAAAACAGCTGATCCTGTAAAAACAGCTGATCCTGTAAAAACAGCTGATCCTGTAAAAACATCGTTGTTAACGGTAACCTGCTGTATCTACAGATTCACACTCAGATGTTTCCTGAGGACAGACCTGACGGTCCACGTAGACCTCCTCGCAGACAGACAGGTGTGCAGGTGTTTATCAGATCATGTTGGTTCTGATCCTAACGGGTCGTCTGAGCAGGTCGTGGTCAGGAGAGTTTGTGTTGACCCGGTCGGTGGTTCTAGATTCAGAGTGACCGCTCGTCCACACACTCCTCCTCCGTCAGTCATGTGACTCGGTCAGAAAGTTGGAGCGGTTCTTCCTGAAGTCTTCTTCTCTGTCGGCGTACCTGGACCTCCTCCGCCCTCCATCTGGCAGCAGCTGAGAGCGTCACGTCGAGCTCTGATGGCGTCCAGGCTCGGTCATCCTCCCTCATCAGCGCCGTCTGTCAGGACGCCGTCGCCCGCAGCTCATCAAGAGCCTCGCTGCGGCTCTCTGCGGCGTGCTGGGCGCCTTCACAGGAGAAAACGGGAGAAAACACTTCGCAGCGGCGCCTGACTGAGCGTCTGTCAGTCAGCGGAGAATCTGCAGACATCAGAGGCGGTGAGAGAACGTCAGGATCAGGAGACAGACCGAAGACTCGGGACATGAGGGTCCAACTACTCCACGTATGTCTCATGTTACAAAAACACGTTCAGTTCTCATTTACACCAACATGGCGATACAAGATGGCGGCCTCCGTGGAGGAGGACCTGCTGGTCTGGAGGCAGAAAAATCTCCATGTCACTAAAAACTGAAAACCATTTTTACACTCAGGTGTTTGTTCACGATCGTGGACAGACCTGATTATCAGACAGTCACGCAGCTCGACCCGTTCTCTCACGCCACACGCCACACCTGACCTTTCTCACGCTTATTTCCCCGTCAATCCTCTGGATTTATTGTTTTCATGATAATAACCTTGGCCCGCTGTAGTTCGAGTAACTCTGACTGACCGAGAACAGAACCCTGAGGAACACCGCTACAGCGTCAGTGACCAGATCATCCATACTGGTCACCGTAGCAACCAGTCGACAAATCTGACCAAACCTGAAAAAAAGAGACGCTTAATGTGACTGTCCTCGAACCGTAAACACGCTCAGTACGTTTTTAACTAACTGTTTTTTAATGGTTTCAGCAGTGACAGGTTTTCACCAGAAGGGGGCAGCATGGGTCACATCACACCGTGAAAACGTCTCTGCCTGCTCCTCAGGAGGAGGAGGAGGAGAGGAGGAAGAGGAGGAGGAGGAGGAGGAGAGGAGGAAGAGGAGGAGGAGGAGGAGGAGGAGGAGGAGGAGGAGGAGAAGGAGGAGAGGAGAGGAGGAGGAGGAGAAGAAGGAGGAGGAGGAGAAGGAGGAGAAGGAGGAGAAGAAGGAGGAGGGGGAGGAGAGGAGAAGAAGGAGGAGGAGGGGGAGGAGAAGGAGGAGGAGGAGGAGAGGAGGAGGAGAAGAAGGAGGAGGGGGAGGAGAGGAGAAGACGGAGGAGGAGGAGAAGGAGGAGGAGGAGGAGAAGAAGGAGGAGGAGGAGAAGGAGGAGGAGGAGGAGAGGAGGAGGAGGAGGAGGAGGAGGAGAAGAAGAAGGAGGAGGAGGAGAAGGAGGAGGAGAGGAGGAGGAGGAGGAGGAGAAGGAGGAGGAGAAGAAGGAGGAGGAGGGGGAGGAGAGGAGAAGTAGGAGGAGGAGGAGGAGAAGAAGAAGGAGGAGGGGGAGAAGAAGGAGGAGGGGGAGGAGAGGAGGAGAAGAAGAAGGAGGAGGAGGAGAAGGAGGAGGAGGAGAGGAGGAGGAGGAGAAGGAGGAGGGGGAGGAGAGGAGAAGACGGAGGAGGAGGAGAGGAGGAGGAGGAGGAGAAGAAGGAGGAGGAGAAGGAGGAGGAGGAGGAGAGGAGGAGGAGGAGAGGAGAAGACGGAGAAGAAGGAGGAGTAGAAGGAGGAGGAGAAGGAGGAGGGGGAGGAGAGGAGGAGGAACGTCTTCAGTCTCGTTTGTTAGAGTCTCGTTTATGAGGTGAATTTCGTGGCGGATCACAGACAGCGGGAATCACAAGAACCTGCAGATTCACGTTCAATCTCACGATAACGAGTTGTCTCTCTAAAGACAGACACATAGACATATAAGCAGTAGATTGTGTCCTTCCAGAGGAGGAAATCTACTTCTTCTCTCCACAGCGACAGTTTTGATTCGCAGACCTCTCCACAGACAGCTGTATTTTCATTCTTCCATGATAACTGCTCAGTAGATCACACACACACGCTCTGTGGTGAAGGTCATTGGGTGTATATCTATGAACGTATGTCTATACCCGCTGTATTTCACTCCCTCTCCCAGCACGCTGTTTGCTCGGCGGCCTTTCGTCACACGCGGTCTGCGTTAGCCGCTTTGCTAATTCCCACATTAGCTGAAGTGATTGTTCGTTATTGGCGTTAACTGTGTCCTCTCACCAATCGGCTCATTTCCTGCTCATCACCGACACAAACGGCGCCGCTCCGCCTTATTAAGTCGGATAATGAGCTCTGAGCGGCGAGGTGACCAAAGGAGAGGAAGTTAACGGAGACATTTATGACCAAGAGAGAGATGGACGCTAACGTTTACAGCTGTTGGACCACAGAGGACATCACAGCGCTGGATCGTGGTCTCCAGAGTCCACGTTTAACACCAGAGTAAACCCTCGACCACAGGAAACAGGAAACAGGAAACAGGAAACAGACAGGAGGCTTGATCAGCTGATACAGCGACAGTGAATTTAATCACTTAGACACTGAAGAGAGGACAGAGGACAGGTGTCTGAGACAACCTGGACTCCTCAGGTCCTGGTTACAGAGGTCAGGTGAAGGTCAGGTGAAGGTCGTCCGCGGTCCCTCAGGTGTCTCACAGCTGGAGTTCGAAGGTGTCATGTGACGTGGACTGAGGCAGCGAGCTGTTGTCCACGCTGAGCTGACTCTGACTGCGAGAGCGAGACAGCAGCAGCGACGGCAGAGCGTAACGCTGGGTCCACCTGCCCCGCGAGAACCTCCCACCTGACGACAGAGAAACACACCTGGAGTCACGGCGAGGACCTCTGACCAAACCTCCATCAGGACTCTGGAGGGGGACTACAGAGGGGACAGACTCTAGACCTGGACTGAGCTTCAACCTTCATGACGGTTCGATTGTCTGTGATCTCAGAAGTTTAATTTGAACAACTGAAATAAAGACCCGCCTCTTATTAAGACCCGCCCCTAATTAAGACCCGCCTCTAATTAAGACCCGCCTCTGCTTAAGACCCGCCTCTAATTAAGACCCGCCTCTGATTACGACCTGCCTCTAATACAAGCCTGCCTCTGATTAAGACCCGCCTCTAATTAAGACCCGCCTCTAATTAAGACCCGCCTCTAATTAAGACCCGCCTCTAATTAAGACCCGCCTCTAATTAAGACCCGCCCCTAATTAGGACCCTCCCCTAATTAAGACCCACCCTAATTAAGGCCTGCCTCTAATACAAGCCTGCCTCTAATTAAGACCCACCTCTAATTAAGGCCCGCCTCTTATACAAGCCCGCCCCTAATTAAGACCCGCCTCTAATTAAGAGCTTCCTCTGATTAAGACCTGCCTCTTATACAAGCCCGCCCCTAATTAAGACCCGCCTCTTATACAAGCCCGCCCCTAATTAAGACCCCACTCTTATACGAGCCCGCCTCTAATAAAGACCCGCCCCTAATTAAGACCCGCCTCTAATGCAATCCTGCCTCTAATTAAGGCCCGCCCCTAATTAAGACCCGCCCCTAATTAAAACCCGCCTCTAATAAAGACCCGCCTCTAATAAAGACCAGCCCCTAATTAAGACCCGCCTCTGATTAAGACCCGCCTCTTATTAAAACCCGCCTCTAATAAAGACCCGCCTCTAATAAAGACCCGCCCCTAATTAAGACCCGCCTCTGATTAAGACCCGCCTCTGATAAACACCCGCCCCTAATTAAGACCCTCCCCTAATTAAGACCCGCCTCTAATTAAGAGCTTCCTCTGATTAAGACCTGCCTCTTATACAAGCCCGCCCCTAATTAAGACCCGCCTCTTATACAAGCCCGCCCCTAATTAAGACCCCACTCTTATACGAGCCCGCCTCTAATAAAGACCCGCCCCTAATTAAGACCTGCCTCTAATACAAGCCTGCCTCTAATTAAGACCCGCCCCTAATTAAGACCCGCCTCTAATACAAGCCTGCCTCTAATTAAGACCCGCCCCTAATTAAGACCCTCCCCTCTATATTTGATGGTGGTGGTAAGTCGAGGTCAGTCCAGAACCGGACCTGTGTGGACGTGTTCAGACCTGAGTTCTGGTCCTGTTTGGTGAAGACCTCGGTGCAGCCGCTCCAGTAGTGGACCGCCATCTTCCCGTGATAATCTCGGAGGTTAGTTTTAGCTTCTGGTGGAGAGAAGAGGAAAGAATTTCAAAATAAAAGTCTGGAATAAAGATTGTGTTTGATGAAGGAAGTGATGCAAAGATTTCAAAATAATCTCACGATACCGAGTCGTCTCTCTAAAGACAGACACATAGACATATAAGCAGTAGATTGTGTCCTTCCAGAGGAGGAAATCTACTTCTAGACTTCTAGAATCAGCATCTCCTCATCCATGGTGTCATCGGGGTGAAATGACGTCTAAAAACCTTTCACTTGTTCGTCTCTGCCCGTCTGAAACACAGAGTGTCCTCCGATCAGCTACGATCGGAGGATACGACCTTTTGGGAGACGATCAGGATGAAGGTGGAGGTCGGGGGTCAGATCCAGTCCCTGCAGGGCTGACCTGGTTCAGACCCTCTCAGTTCTGAGATGTTTTCAGCCGCAGTGAAGATCTGGATCCTCGTGGAGGTTTTTGCTCGTCTCTGTTCGGCCTCAGATAAAGTCGGAGTTTCAGACTCTGAGGTCTGAGGAGGGTAAACCGTCTCCTCATGTTTCAGTCAGGAGGGGGCGCTGTGGCGTCCCTCAGCGGGACTCTGACAGATAATGGTTTCACGGTGAAACTGAGTCGCCTCATTAAGACTCCCACCTGTCCTCCTCTCTGACTGTAAACGGTTTAAAGCTCCTCCTCCGCTGCTCCTCAGAGAAACTCGACCGTCCCTCTGCTCCTCACACACCTCCATCCACCAACTTCTCCACTCTTCACTCCGCTGCATTTCCCAGAATGCTTTTCTCTGGGGGGTAAAAGTTAGACTTCTGCCCCCCGCCCCACAGGTTCCTGTTCCTCCTAAAGCAGGTTTGGGTTCACTGAGGAGGAGGTGGAGGAGCTCGTGTGTGATGGAGGACGGTGCCCTCCTCTGCACATGCTCAGTGGGGTCTTCTCTGTGTGTGAGTGACAGTGAGGTTCAACCTGAGGAGTGTGGACCATGACAGGGACATCATCAAGAGTCCGCTCACTGACAGGTCAGGGGCGGGCCTCATTAGACCCACAACACCCCTCTGCTCCTCCTCCTCCTCCTCCTCCTCCTCCTCCTCCCCATGTGTGTGTGTGTGTGTGTGTGTGTGTGTGTGTGTGTGTGTGAACCTGTCAGTCTCTCCGATCTTCAGTGTCAGAGACGATTTGCATGAGTGCGCTCTCTGCTCTCTGAGTCTGTGAGGCGTGGAGGACGAGGAGACGAGGAGGAGACGAGGAGGAGACGAGGAGGAGACGAGGAGGAGACGAGGAGGAGACGCTGAGTCCCTGAAGGTCTGAATATTAATTTACCTGGGGGGGGGTCATCAGCTGATCATCAGCTGTTTGTGATCAATAACTGTTAGTCCAGTCTGCTGCAGCGTCCAATCAGGGAGGCAGATTCTGAAAAAGGGGCGTGTCTGTGGAGTTCAGATCTATCTCCTCTCCTCTCTCCTTTCCTCTCTTCTCTCCTTCCCTCTGTCTCCTCTCTCCAACCCCCTTTCTCTCCTCTCCTCCTTTTCTCTCCTCTCTCCTTTCCTCTTGTCTTTCCTTTCCTCTCCTCTCGTTTCCTCTTTCCTCCCCTCCCCTCCTTTCCTCTCCTCTCTCCTCCCCTCCTTTCCTTTCCTCTCTCCTCCTTTCCTCTTTCTTCCCCTTGTTTCCTCTCTACTCTCCTCTCTCCTCCTTTCCTCTTTCTTCCCCTTGTTTCCTCTCTCCTCTCGTCCTTTCCTTTCTTCCCCTCCTCTCTTCTTTCCTCTCTCCTCCTTTACTTTCTTCCACTTTTTTCCTCTCTCCTCCTTTCCTCTTTCCTCTCCTCTTCTTTACTCTCTCCTCCTTTCCTTTCTTCCACTTTTTTCCTCTCTCCTCCTTTCCTCGTTCCTCCTCCTTTTCTCTCCTCTCTCCTTTCCTCTCTTCTCTCCTTCCCTGTCTCCTCTCTCCACCCCCCTTTCTCTCCTCTCTCCTTTCCTCTCTTCTCTCCTTCCCTGTCTCCTCTCTCCACCCCCCTTTCTCTTCTCTCTCCTTTCCTCTCTACTTCCGTCTCTCCTTTCCTCTCTCCTCCTTTTCTTTCTTCCATCTCTTTCCTCTCTCCTCTCATCCTTTCCTTTCTTCCCCTCCTCTCTCCTTTCCTCTCTCCTCCTTTCCTTTCTTCCACTTTTTTCCTCTCCCCATCCTCTCCTCTCTCCTATCCTCCCCTCCTTTCCTCTCATCTCTCCTATCTCCTCCTCTCCTCTCCTCCCTAACAGCTGAGGTCCAGCTGACCTACAGCTGTGTAAAAAGTAGCCCCTCCCCCTCCTCCACAGGGTGAAGCTGATTGGTCGGTGTGATCTTCGGCGGTCTGACTCACTGTAGGTGTTGATCAGGGCGTGGACCACGGGCAGGTGGCTGTGGATGGAGGCGAGGTGGAGCGCCGTGTAACCCTGGAGACAGAAACACAGTATTATGGTCTGTCCTACACACCCACACACACACCCACACACACACACACACACACACACACACACACACACACGTTGGTCTCTCAGTGTAAATTCTTCATCTGCTCCCCGTCAGGATCTGACTGAGGATCCGGCACCGCCTCAGAAGGATCCGGCACCGCCTCAGAAGGATCCTGTCTCCTCCAATCAGGTTCTTCTGTCAGTCCAGATCCTCTGAACGTCCATCAGCCTGTCCGTCCTCATCCACTCGTCCTCCGTCTGTCTTCATCACAGTCTTCATCGTTTGTTCACATTAACACCGCCGAGTCCCTGAGGACCAGCCGCCCGTCATCCTGAGCCGCCGTCAGAGCGAGTCGAACAAACGCCGTCAGCGGCGCGGTGAAGTCGGTTAAATGACAGTAAAGAGACGGTTTGAAGTCGGAGCTGATTAGGAGGACGGCTCTGAAGTTTCCTCTCATGGTGACGGTAAACGAGGTTCAAACAGAGACGCTGTCAGCTGCTGTCAGCTCTCACACACACACACACACACACACACACACACACACACACACACACTCTTCACATGTGTGTGTGTGTGTGTGTGTGTGTGTGTCATAAATCAACAATAACACACCTCCTCAGTGATAATAGAAGAAGATGTGAGATATGAGAGAGTTTGTGTTGAAATGAAGGATTTTAATGTTCCGACAAATAGAAGATAAAGATTCAGACTGACGCACAAACTGGACGATTCACATCTGAGGACACACACGAGGACACACACAGACCGACAAACTGAGACTTCACATCTGAGGACACACACAAGGACACACACAGACCGACAAACTGAGACTTCACATCTGAGGACACACACGAGGACACACACAGACCGACAAACTGAGACTCTAAATCTGACTACACACACAGACCGACAAACTGAGACTCTAAATCTGAGGACACACACAGACCAACAAACTGAGACTTCACATCTGAGGACACACACGAGGACACACACAGACCAACAACGAAGCTGAGACTTCACATCTGAAGGCCGTAAAGTCTTCATTTTCAGAGCTGAAGGTAACAGCAGCAGGAGGTCCGAGGAGGTCCGAGGAGGTGAGAGTTTCACTGTAAATACTCTTATATTTAGGAAAACAGGAAACCAGAGAGAGGTCTTTGAGAAACTGAGACTGTTAGAAACTATTTACAGACAAACTGAGACTCTGAGTGAGACTGTTTGAGGTTTTAGTGTGGACCTTTTTTCAGACGGAGATCATCCTGAAGGAGAGAAAAGATTTATTTCAGTTTTAATCTGAAATAATCTGGACCTTCAGTGTCGACCCGCTCCGACCCGCAGAGAGACCGGTTCTGATAACATCTGTGAACGAGGCGGGATGAAGCCGGAGGCTCTGCGTGTGTGTGTGCATGTGTTTGTTGTGTGTTTATTGTGTTTATGTGTGTTTGTTGTGTGTTTGTTGTTGTGTTTGTGTTTGTTGTTGTGTTTATTGTGTGTTTGTTGTGTGTTTGTTGTTGTGTTTGTTGTGTTTATTGTGTGTTTGTTGTGTGTTTGTTGTGTTTGTTGTGTGTTTGTTGTGTTTGTTGTGTGTTTGTTGTGTTTGTGTTTGTTGTGTGTTTGTTGTGTTTATGTGTGTTTGTTGTGTGTTTGTTTGTTGTGTTTGTTGTGTGTTTGTTGTGTTTGTGTTTGTTGTTGTGTTTGTGTTTGTTGTTGTGTTTATTGTGTGTTTGTTGTGTGTTTGTTGTTGTGTTTGTTGTGTTTGTTGTGTGTTTGTTGTGTGTTTGTTGTGTTTGTTGTGTGTTTGTTGTGTTTGTTGTGTGTGTGTTTGTTGTGTTTGTTGTGTGTTTGTTGTGTGTTTGTTGTGTTTGTGTGTGTGTTTGTTGTTGTGTTTGTTGTGTTTATTGTGTGTTTGTTGTGTTTGTTGTGTGTTTGTTGTGTTTGTTGTGTGTGTGTTTGTTGTTGTGTTTGTTGTGTTTATTGTGTGTTTGTTGTGTTTGTTGTGTGTTTGTTGTGTGTTTATTGTGTGTTTGTTGTGTGTGTGTTTGTTGTGTGTTTGTTGTGTGTTTGTTGTGTTTGTTGTGTGTTTATTGTGTGTTTGTTGTGTGTTTTGACCTCCATCCTGCAGATAAACTGGATCAGTGTTTTTCTGCTGGAGGACGTTTCTTCTTCCTCGTCTTCATCCTCTCAGTCGGAGCGTGACTGCTCCAGTTTCAGCACGTTTGGATCTGCTCTGTTGTGTTGGTGTTTGTGTTTGTGTTTGTGTTTGTGTGTTGTGTTGGTGTTTGTGTTGGTGTGTTGTGTTGGTGTTTGTATCTCTGTGTTTGTGTTGGTGTTGTGTTGGTGTGTTGTGTTGGTGTTTGTGTTGGTGTGTAGTGTTGGTGTGTAGTGTTGGTGTTTGTGTTGAGTTTGTGCGTTAATGGACTTACCCCCTTCAGCATGAGAGGTTGTAGAAAACCGGAGAGCAGATCAAACAGAGAGAGAAAAACTCATTTCACAGCAGAGACACGGAGGATCGGACTTTATTGACTTAGAGAGGAGGACCGGTCCTAAAGGGGCTCTGCTGGACCAGGGCCGGTCTTTGTGCAGATCTCTGCAGCTAGAATGGATCAGAAACTCACTTACATGCTGGTGTGGAGAAGGACCATCACCGACGACGACGACAACGTGAGGAAGAGGAAAGAGAGAAAAGAATTTAGTTCACAGAGATGAAATCTGAAGAGAGTTTGTCTAAAATTCACAGAATCAGAGCGAATCAGAGCGAATCAGAGCGAGCGTACCGGAGGAGAAACCACCAATAAACATGAGCGAGAAGTCTGACTGGACCACCAGGAGGTCATCTCAGAGAGGAACTGTCCACACAAACATCTGAAAGATCAGCTGTGACAGCAGACGACCAAAGACTCCATGACCTCCACAGAGGGACCCTAAAGAGACACCAGGACCTCCACAGAGGGACCCTAAAGAGACACCAGGACCTCCACAGAGGGACCCTAAAGAGACACCAGGACCTCCACAGAGGGACCCTAAAGAGACACCAGGACCTCCACAGAGGGACCCTAAAGAGACACCAGGACCTCCACAGAGGGACCCTAAAGAGACACCAGGACCTCCACAGAGGGACCCTAAAGAGACACCGGGACCTCCACAGAGGGACCCTAAAGAGACACCGGGACCTCCACAGAGGGACCCTAAAGAGACACCAGGACCTCCACAGAGGGACCCTAAAGAGACACCAGGACCTCCACAGAGGGACCCTAAAGAGACACCAGGACCTCCACAGAGGGACCCTAAAGAGACACCAGGGGACCTGAAAAAGGACCGCTTTAACATCCTGGTCCATGAACCAGGTCCTGAAGGGTCACCTGAGACAGGCCCAGCTTTAGGACTTCATGAACAGGTGGACATGAACCTGTTTGACCTGGTTTGATTATCCGTCCCTGTGAAGGTCTGTGAAGGTCTGTGAAGGTCTGTGAAGGTCTGTGAAGGTCTGTGAAGGTCTCCATCAGAACCATCAGAACTGTTTCTCCTCTCTTTAAAGTTTCCACTGAGCTGAAGCTGTTATTGAACCTTCTGTTGATGTTGGTCTTCCTCACACTGATGACTTTTAGCATCTTCATGAGACGTTACTGCGTTTAAACGAAGATTTCTGAGTTTGATCAAATTTATGGAGATGAAGTTTCAACCTTTTTTTGAAGAAACTAGAAAACATCAAATCAGACAAACTTCTTCTCTGTTGATCATCAAAGAGGTCAGAGAAACAAAGAGCCTCACAGAAGAAGATGAAGACCAGACAACTCCAGCTGGGACAAAACAGGAAGTAGATCCTGATTGGCTGAAGTTCACTGTTGAACAGCCTTCCTCCTGATGTAGAGGGTCCTCAGACTCAGACCCTTAAACCAGCCTGAGAACCAGACTGACTAAAAACCTCCAGACCCAGGTTCAGGATCAGGATCAGAGGACACAGACCCTCTGACTCCAGGAGGATCCGTCCCCTGAAGCTCCTGAGTCCATCAGTCAAACGAGCCGTTCTCCTCTTAACGCCTTTTTATGGATTATTGATTTCTGATTAGCCGGCTGCTGCAGCTGAGGGTCTTTTTATCGGAGCCGTTACCCCGCTAACGATTAGAGACAAGAAGTTAATTCTGTGATTATGGAGCCAATCAGAGAAGAGTCTGCTCTGATTGGCTCTGCTGAGGTCTGAGCGTTATCTCCTGAGAGGAGGAGGAGGAGGAGGAGGAGGAGGAGGAGGAGGAGGAAGAGGAGGAGGAGGAGAGCAACACTCCGAGACGCTAAATTGAATTCTCCAGAAACCATTAAGAAACACACACACACACACACACACACACACACACAGGGCGCCCTGAGTGTGTGTGTGTGTGTGTGTGTGTGCGTTTGTGTGTGTTTTCACTCCAGTTTTATTCACTGTGACACTGACACAGAAACCAATCGAGGACCTAAATGAGACGTCTAAACCACTAATCCAGACCGTGGGGGGCTGGGGGGTGTGTGGGGGTCACCATGTCGGACTCGGACGTACAGTAACATGTCATCACCATGACAACACAGTGGACCTCAGATTCACAAACAGAAAAACACAGACATAAGAATCAGTTTTCAGTCGAGAGTCTAAATTTACATGAAATGATTGAAGACTTTTATTTTGAAGGGTCAGGACTAATCTAACTCTGGTGTTTATTTTCCTGTTATTAAAAGACTTCGTTCTAAGAGGCTCTGACAGAGGTGTGAGGAGAGTCCCGTAAAAACAGCGGACTGCTCCTTTAAAGGCTGATTTTCATGCAGAACCTGAAGACAAGAAGACAGGACGAGACGTTTCTGAGATTGTTTATGCAGCAGAGGTCCGACTGCTGCTATTAAAGTGCATGACAGGTTCTAACACACACACACACACACACACACACACACACACACACTCTTCTGATTTATGCTGTGGAAATATCACACTCACCGATCTGGCGTTGACGTCGGCTCCAGAGCGAAGCATCATGTCCACGGCGTCCTGACGGCCCTGCTTGGCTGCCCAGTGAAGTGCTGTCTGAACACACACACACACACACACACACACTCATCATGTTATCTTCTTTATTCATTTAAAATCTCAGATCAAATATAAAAACAGAAAATTATAAAGTGAATATTCTCTGAGATTAACACCATGAATCTCCTGAAATATGTTTGATTATTGATCAGATATTATAAGTTGTGTTTTTATTTAAAGGGACGGTTTCTTCTCCCTCCTGTCTTTGGTTTATTTCTCAGTCTGAAGAGTTTCATTCTTAGATTTCTTCATTAATCTGAGAATCTGGTCTGTTTTATTTCTGGAAACATCCTCTCTCTTCGTCTCTTCTTTATTTTTAACCCACAGTGTCCTGAATACGCCTGTGAAGCTCCAGCCTCTCCCTGCAGACACAGATATTGATCCTGAAGTGTGAGAGCAGATTCACAGACTTTTGGATTCATGCTTCATTAAACAGATGAGTCTGTGAGCTGCAGAGACACTCGTAATAATAATGATAATAATAATAATAATAATAATAATAATGATAATAATAATAATAATAATAATAATGATAATAATAAGAATAATAATAATAATAATGAGAAGAGCTTCAGTGAGTTCTCTGCTATAGAGCCCCGGTCAAGGACGCTGGTCCCATCTCCACTGTTCACACTGATGTCTGTTTTTAACGAGCTTCACTCCGTCTCCATCACTGTGACCGTGTCATTAACACCAAACTCTCCTCCTGTTTAATTAGGACCTCTAAAATGGAGACAAGCTGCGCTCTTGTTTTGGCGGTAAAACACTTCCTGTCAACTCTGAGAGAGAAGGTTAAAATAAGACTCCGGAAAATTTTAATAAAAGTGAGAAATTTTGAAAAACAGATCAACAGAAACGTGAGACTGAGGAAAATTATGATATAATAATAATAATAATAATAATTATGATAATAAAATAATAACAATAATTTATAACAATGATAACACAAATAAAAATTATGATATAAATAATAATAAAAATAATAATAATAATTAATATTATTATAACTATTAGAAAAATATAATTAATTATTATTATTATTGTTCTTATTTTTTGTTTTTTATTTATTATAAAATTCATTATTAATAATTAAACGATAAATTGTTGTTATTATAATTATTATTGTTTGACTTTTAATTGAATAATAATAATAATAATAATAATAATAATAATAATAATAATAATACTCAGTCAGGCCCTCTCTGTTTACAGTATTTCATTGTTGTTGTTATTTAATTGTATTTAAACTTGTTTTTTCTCACTAATCCTCCGCTCTCTCCTCTGTTAGAGTCTCTCCTCTGTTAGAGTCTCTCCTCTGTTAGAGTCTCTCCTCTGTTAGAGTCTCTCTCCTCGGTCTTACTGAAGCCTGTGGAGCTTCTGTTATCAGACTGAGGACCTCCGTCCATGGTGAGGAACCTTCAGGAACCTTCTCTCTCTCTGTAAACACGTACTTCTGGTGACCCACACAGATGCTAACGCTAACACACTGACAGCACTTTAACATCGGCTCTACAAACACAGAGTGAACTTACAAACTGAACATGTTTCCAGAAGTTTCCGAGAGCAGGAGAGGACGGACACAGAGCTGTTAGAGACACACACACACTTCACCGTCTACAGTCTACAGTCAGCTGGTACTCTCAGGATCAGACCCTGGTCTCATGGTAGTGTATGAATGTGTCCCCACCCCCGTCCTCCTCAGTCCACAGACCATGGTCACCAAAAGAGAGCCTGAAAAACCCCGACCCGGGTCTGTCTCTGCAGTTAACAGGTGAGTCTGCTCATGGACCTGAACCCTGGTCAGAGCCTGTGGTCGAGCTCTGTGGAGACCGTCCCTCTCTGCAGTTTCTCATTAAAGGAGCTGATCTGACCCACGTCCTCTGAGACTCAAACACTGATGAGACGAAGTTCTTTAAGACCTGACCCCACAAACACTCCGAGCGTTCACAGCCACAGTTTAATCTGACTAAGATCATAACGGTGTCCTCCTCCCCAACACTAGGGGGCGATATGGGTCTTTTCAGCGGCGCTGTTTCTGACCCCACTCTTAATCAGAGTTCTCAAACTCTGATTATAGTCGGACTAAGGTGTTTACATGACCTTCAGTTATTCGGTCTTCATCGGAATAAGGCGATAATTCGGTTTTCTCGATTGTCATGGAAACGGACTGAGTGAAATGTCCCTTTAACCTCGGAGCTCCTCATTGGTGCGTTTTTCTGCTGCTTTTCTGCGGACATTTCCTGATTTAACAGACGTGTAAAAATAAAAACTGTCACTGATCGGTTTTGGTCTGGGTCCTCCAGGTCAGACCTGGACTTCGTCCCCCCCCCCCAACCCTGGTGTGGTCCCTGTAAACTGGACTAACTGCTGAGAGCGAGCGCCGATCTCTGCTGGTCTGACCAATGACGCGCCTCATTCAGCAGTTTTCATTAGCAGGTGCTAACAGAACCCCGCCTCGCTCACCGGACCTTTCCGACACTCAGAGAGTCCAGCTGAGCCGCGCACACGCACACACACACACACACACACACACACACACACACACACACACACACACACACTGACAGTAGAGGTATTAGGAGCTGTGAGAGACGCTCTGCTCACAGTTTCGATTCTGTCAGAGGACGGCGGTTCTGCTCGGTTCTGATTCTGTATTTTCTTTATTTTAGGAGGTTCTGCAGAACCTTCTCTTGGACCTCTCAGAGAAATTTCATTCTGAGTCTTTTTCAATATAACAGAGCAACATATTAGCACTGCTGCTCTGTGAATCCTACCTCATTATTATTATATATAAGAATTATATATTTATTTAAATTTATAAATGTTATTATTCAAATTCATCTTCATTCTTATTCTTGTATAAATGTTTCATTTTTCACTGTCGAGAGGATTTTATCTTGTTTATAGTCTGTAATTTTTATTATCATTATTATTATTATTATTATTATTATTATGATAATAATAATTATTATTATTATTATTATCATAATAATAATAATAATTCTTATTATTATTTATATATTGTTATTTCTTACAAATATTTCTGTACTTTTATTCAGTCTCTGTTTCTTTTCTTGTATCTCCTGCCCTGAACATGCAGAAGCTCTCCTGTCTCGTTGCTCCTTCTGGATAATGACAATAAAAAGAATTCTGGTCCTGGTTCTGGTTCTGATCTTTGTTCTGATATCATCGAAGGAAACCTCCAAACAGAAAACCAGTTCTCATTCTCCTCATCCTGGTCCTGGTCTCATCCCTCCTTCATCCCCGTCCGACCGTCTGGTCTAAGGTCAGCAGTCAAAGTTCTGGAACCAGCACCTGTTACTGGGTTTTTAAGCTAACAGCACAGACTCTGGACCTGGATCACGGGTCTCTGCAGGTTCCACTTTCACACGTTAGCTAACATGACGGACACCTGTCCACCTCGGCGGGACGCTCCCTCCTCCATTAACCAGCCAAATCGTCCTGTAACAGAGACCAGAGGGAGGAGACGGGGGAGGGAGGCGCCATCAGTGACCCGGCACAAACGGCAAACTGCTCAGCAGCAGTGGATCTGGGTGTGCCGGGCGTCTGTCGGCCTGGCGGTGTCTGAGGAGTGACGGCGGAGAGTCTGAAGGCGGAGCTCTGACATCAAACAGGCGAGAATGTCACGTCCTCCATTTTAAAAAGGAGAGAAACACGAGTGAGACGACTGATGACGTCATCCTGCATCTGTCCACCGGGGGGAGGAGGAGAAGGAGGAGGAGGCGCGTCAGGAGAGGCCATATGGAGGAGGGGTCCTTCAGCAGCTCCTGAGCTTCAGTGAGGAGGACTTTCAAAGACTGGGCTCCTCTGAAGGTCTCTCTGTTCGTGGGTCTGGACTCTAGACCGAGTCTGGAGAACATCTGCTGGACCAGAGGAGACCCAGCTGAAGTTCTGCTGCTGTAGGATCAGACATTTATAATCTGAACCAGAGTCCAGATGAACACTGTGATGGACTGAGCCGTCTAAAGGAGGAGAGTCATCATCATCCAACAGTGGACGAAGTTCCCAAACCTCAAACAAACAGTCTGATCCCTCCTATCAGAGAGACGACCAGACTCAAGCTGAGATCAAAGACAGGTCTGTCCCGACCGACGTGTCAACGTAGTAACTCTATGTGTCTTTGTAGTAACTCTATGTGTCTTTGTGGTAACTCTATGTGTCTTTGTAGTAACTCTATGTGTCTCTGTAGTAACTTTGTGTCTTTGTGGTAACTCTATGTGTCTTTGTGGTAACTCTGTGTCTTTGTAGTAACTCTATGTGTCTTTGTGGTAACTCTATGTGTCTTTGTAGTAACTATGTGTCTTTGTGGTAACTCTGTGTCTTTGTAGTAACTCTATGTATCTTTGTAGTAACTCTATGTGTCTCTGTAGTAACTCTATGTGTCTTTGTAGTAACTCTATGTGTCTTTGTGGTAACTCTATGTGTCTCTGTAGTAACTCTATGTGTCTTTGTAGTAACTCTATGTGTCTTTGTGGTAACTCTATGTGTCTCTGTAGTAACTCTATGTGTCTTTGTAGTAACTCTATGTGTCTTTGTGGTAACTCTATGTCTCTATGTCGTCGTCTTGTCCGTGTTCATTGTTGTTAATTTCCTTCTTTTGTTACTTTGTTTTGTTTTTTTGTCCCTGATCTCGCTCCTGTGTGTTTTTTTTGGTTATTTTTATTTTGTTAGTTATTCCCTTTTCCGTGATTTTACTCGCCTCTGTCTCTGTCCTTTTAGCCCCGCCCCTCGTGTTTCTGCTCCTCCCTCATTACCTCACCTGTGTCCTTCTCTCCTGTGTTTTGACCTTTGTTCCAGATTCTTCTCCTCCGTCTGTCTCTCCTCTCTTCAGAACCTCCTGTTCTTCTGGACTCTGGTTTGGGTCAGAGCCGTTCCTGGTGATTCTCGTCACACTTGTTCTTTCTTTTTCTCCGGTTTTGTTGATTTTGGTCACTCTTTCGTTATTTGATGTCCCTCTGTGTCCTTTTTTTGTCTCCTGACGCTGCTCCTGTGTCTGTCCAGCGTCTGCTCGTGTCTTTTCTGAGTCTTTGTGTCTCTTTGATCGTCTCTGACTCTTTGTTGTCTCCTCTGTCTCTTTTTGGCGTGTCCGTGTCTCCCTGTGCTCGTTTTTGTCTTTCGTTTCCCTCCTCACCGCCGAACTGTGAAATCTGGTCTTCTAGAAAAACAGGAGGACGGCGTGGAGACGCTGGACTCGGAGTGAGTTTGAGATCTTGTAGCTGATTGTGATCGAATCAGTCCCTCCTATCTGCTGAGGAGGCGAGCGGCGTCCCTCCAGGCCGGCTGTTTGCTCAAATATTAATTAGCGTGTAATTACACCGTCATTACACGTCCCTGTAGTCTGAGCCGCCGACCGTGGCGCCGCTCTGTAATGAGCGTGAATCTTACATCCCGCTGCAGCGTCCAGCTGATAAATCACAGACGATGGGCCTGAGGGTACAGAGATGTGACTGAACACAGAGAGACACAAAGACGAACACGGACGATGAACACGGAGACCTCCTCAGATCAGGACTTCTGCTCTCTGTCCGTCCTTCGGTCCGTTTCTGCCTCTTTGTCTTTAGATTGTTGGTTTAGTGGATCTTTAAGGTCACCTGAGGTCACCTGGGGTCACAGTTTTCGTGCTCTCTCTCTCTCTCTCTCTCTCTCCCTCTCTCTCCCTCTCTCTCTCTCTCTCTCTCTTTTTCAGGTCTTTGAATCTTTTTCTGTTCTGTGTCTCATTCGTTTGATTTTTCCTCCCTGATATTTTTCAGACTCTCTCTGTTTGTTTCCTCTTTAGTCTCTGTAATATTTGTTTTCTTTTATTAGGCGGTTAGTTAGTCGACCCCCCCCCCCCACACACACACACACACACACACACACACGCACACATAAACACACTTCAGAGAGCCTCAAACATCCGAACATGGAGCCGATCAGACGGTGCAGACTGAGAGACGGAGGTGAGGAGTGTGTGTTTATATGTGTGTGTGTGTGTGTGTGTGTGTGTGTGTGACTTACCCCCTTTGTGTTGGACGGGTTCACAGCAGGTCATCAGAGAGAGAGAGAGAGAGAGAGAGACACCGGATCAGAACTCCATCAGAACCATTCTAGATCAGGTATCAGAGCAAACACAAGCGGGACGATACCGGACAGGTCAGAACCTCCTGAGGGTCCATTCAGAGTCTACGACCAACATGAAAAACCGGGACCCTCTGATGATGGATCTGGATGAATTAAAGTAAAGAAACAACCGGGTCAAAGGTTCTGAGAGGTTCTGAGAGGTTCTGAGAGGTTCTAAAGGTTCTGAGAGGTTCTGAGAGGTTTTTAAAGGTTCTGAGAGGTTCTGAGAGGTTCTAAAGGTTCTGAGAGGTTCTTAAAGGTTCTGAGAGGTTGTGGTTCTAACGGTTCAGCTGGAGGAACTTCTCCACGTTCTCAGTCTCTGAACTTCTCTGACCTCCTGACCTCTGACCTCTGTGTTCCTCCTCTCAGGTTGTCAGTAAAAAAGTAGTTCCTTTACGGCGCGCTGCGGTCCAGAGCAGTGATACCGGTTCTCCATCAGCTGATCACTGAGGTGGTAATCTGGTCTAAAGTAGCTCCTCTGTCCTTCTGTCTCCAGATCCGGTCCTGGAAAACCTACCCCCCTTCAGAGGCTGTCCTGTTATTCTGCTCTGTGACCCGGTTCTAAACTGGTCTCAGCTGCTCGTCTGTTCTATTGTTACAGTGATCAGTCTGACCCGGACAGGTGTCTAAATTTACCTGACCTGGTTCACCTGATCTGAGGTGACCTCTCCGACTGAGCCGGGTTCAGGTGGACTCGGTTATTATCAGGACCATAATCTGATTAAACGGATCGACTAAAAACCAACTCTGTCTGGAGGGACTACTTTCTCTGGAGGAAGAACACAGTAATGCACTATTGAGGGACTACTTTCTCTGGAGGAGGGGGATATCGTTACATTCTGGGGGTGTTCTGTGGCTCTGCTGGGTGTTTTCTTCTGTGGTAGAGGGGCGGAGTTCTGAGGGACTACTTTCTCTGGTGGAAGAACAGAGAAAATAACGTTACGCTTGTTCGGCGCTTTACTTTGTCTGTTTGTCTGTTTGTTTGTTTGTTTGTTTGTTTGTTTGTTTGTTTGTTTGTTTGTTTGTTTTGGGACTACTTTCTGCAGCGGAAGAAGAAAATATATTTTTTCAAGCTGCTGTAGAAGAACAGAAGAAATGAGGCCGACGTCGGGGTTAACCTTCTGTGGTCCAGGGGCCTGTTCTACGAAGCAGTTTCAACCTAGCGAGGTAGCCTTGGAGCTTCCTCACTCAACTTAGCGCGGTAGCCAGCGGTCTCGCTGAGCGGTTTTACGACGCTGGTTATCAACCTCGTAAGTTGATCCAGCTTTGCTATGAGCGCGTGCACGCATGTAAGGCGGAGCCCGCCGCATCTGACCAATCGTGAACATGGATCAGTCTGGAGCGTCAGAGCAGGACGGAGAGCGAAGGACCGCAGACTTTACAAACGAGGAACAGGAGACGATCATGAGAAAGTATCATGAATTCAAATCTATCATAAACCTCAAAAGAAACACCGTCGCCGCTGCAAAAGCACGGAGGGAACGCTGTCAGAAAATTAATCTTTGATGCCATTATCACCCTGAAATAGCGCTGTTCAACATGCGCTTTTAACTAAGGTGACAGTCCCCGAATTGGATGATCTGTCCCCGGCTAAAGCTGTCCCCGAAAATGTCCCTGATTTAAGCGTTTCATGAATGAGAACAAAAATGTTGCATGTGGGCTAAAACAACGGTTATTACAGTAGGTAGGAAGCACAAGTAAGCAGTCCTGAACAACAGTATTTACCGGGTTATTATAAGGGGCGTGTGCTGCTACTAAATAGTACCGAGATGTTGTCTGTGATCAGCTCATGCCCATTCATTCCCAAGATGAATCATTCATGTGTTCATTCCTATCGTGTTTACATGTTTTTGTGTAATATGTCGGCTATATGAGCCTTTCATAACCTTTTTTACCTTTTTTACCTTTTTTTTTTTTTTTTATGGCATTTAAATTGTGTATATTGTAGAAAGCTTTATTTTTTCTTCTCCCTTTTCTAATTTTTTTTTTAATTATTACATTTATTTAAGTTCTTAATATTAGGACCCTTATTGTTATAACTGCATTTTTGCACTTTTTGTCTTGTCTGTGATGCTGCTGTGACAAAAAAATTTCCCCCATGGGGGATCAATAAAGGAATATTCTATTCTATTCTATTCTATTCATAAAGGTGGTCATCCGGAGAAAACTCTCCCTGAAAACTCTCGCGAGCCGGAGTGCTCCTCCTCGGACAATGCGAGCACCGAGGTCTACAGGATCCTCCGAGAACGGACAAGCCGTTTTTCGAGAGAGCTCATTGGTCAGTGGGCGGGGTTTTATACTCGGTGAGTTCAATCTGGAACCTAACCTGCCCCGGAGCAGGTTAGCCGTTCAGCGCACGTTGCCATGGAGACTCGCCTCGCTAAGCAGTAATCCTGCTTCGTAGAACAGGGGCCTGGACGTGATATTTTTTTGGAGGATGGTAGGGGAAGGTCCCGCCTCCTTCGCCTCTGATTGGCTGTGAAACGTCCTCACATAAAGAGTCTCGTTCTCAGGACGCCGTCGTCATAAATCTGTCAGATTACTGGTATAGAAATACTAACATAGATCAAACTCTAGATCTGTGATGGTGTCTCTGCAGGGTTCAGTCCGTCCTGATCACAGCGCTGAATTAAAACTGTCCAATCAGAGTTGATCCGCCCCCCCCCGGTCCACACTAATAGGATCCTTTAACCCCGCCCCCTCGTTCAGGTCTAAGACGATTACCTCCTCGTTTGTTTGCGGCTCTTTGAACGTTTCCTCGTCTTAATCCGATTGTTTCCTCTGACCCTCGCTCTCTCACACGTCCATCGTGTTTCTGCGAGCCGAGAGCGTCCGCCCGCCCGCCCGCCGAGGACGGATTTAACCACGAGCTGCTGATTAAACTGGAGACGACCAGGTTAATCTGAGCGCCGCCGCCGCTGCCATGTTGGATCGAACACATGCAGGAATCAGAGTCAGCTGATTTAAAGGAGTGACTCTGGGATCCATTAATAAACCTGAGACAGGTTTCATCAACAGAACCTCCTCCAGAACCGATCCAGAACTCCTCAGACTGGAACTACACAAACACCAGAACAGGAACCTCTGAACTCACCGTGACGAAGTCCTGATGGAGGCGGAGCAGAAACAGAGACACAACAGTCACATGACCGTCCTCAGTCAGTTAACGAGGACGTTAACGACCTCGACGGCGTTAATTAACTTAAATAACAGCAGATAAAAACCATGAAGTCGGGTTCTGTACCTTCTTCATGACCAGGTTGGGCTCCTGGGCGAGCAGGTGGCTCATGGCGGCCATGTTTCCCAGCGCTGAGCTCTTTAACCAGTCCTTCTCCAGAGGGTCCAGCTGGACCCGGTGGAACAGCGACTGTGGGGGGGCGGAGTCAATTTATCATCGTTTAAAGATCAGCTGGAAAAGGTCAAAGTTCAAACAGTTTTCGTCTCTAAACCAGATCTGCTGGATTTGGATGTTTTTATCGGTCTTGTCGGATCTTTCAGTTTTTGGTCATTTTGGCGCCCCCTGTGGACAGCGGGGTCTTCTGTTGTTGGTGAAGTTGTGAAATCAGAGTCTAATGAAGGATCCTGAAAAACCAGACCAGGTTTTTGTGAGAGGCCGACCCACTCAGAGGGTCTGAGACTCAGTCAAGTCTTTAGAGGCGTTAAGTGTCCTCCTGTCCTCCATCCTCGGTGTCCTCTGTCCTCAGTGTCCTCTCCTATCCTCAGTGTCCTCAGTGTCTCCCCCTGTCCTCAGTGTCCCCTCCTGTCCTCAGTGTCCTCTGTCCTCAGTGTCCCCTCCTGTCCTCAGTGTCCTCTGTCCTCAGTGTCCTCTCCTGTCCTCAGTGTCCCCTCCTGTCCTCAGTGTCCTCTGTCCTCAGTGTCCCCTCCTGTCCTCAGTGTCCTCTCCTGTCCTCAGTGTCCCCTCCTGTCCTCAGTGTCCTCTGTCCTCAGTGTCCCCTCCTGTCCTCAGTGTCCCCTCCATCCTCAGTGTCCCCTCCTGTCCTCAGTGTCCCCTCCTGTCCTCAGTGTCCTCTGTCCTCATTGTCCCCTCCTGTCCTCAGTGTCCCCTCCATCCTCAGTGTCCCCTCCTGTCCTCAGTGTCCCCCCTGTCCTCAGTGTCCCCTCCATCCTCAGTGTCTCCTCCTGTCCTAAGTGTCCCCCTCTGTCCTCAGTGTCCTCTGTCCTCATTGTCCCCTCCTGTCCTCAGTGTCCCCTCCATCCTCAGTGTCCCCTCCTGTCCTCAGTGTCCCCCCTGTCCTCAGTGTCCCCTCCTGTCCTCAGTGTCTCCTCCTGTCCTCACTGTCCTCTGTCCTCAGTGTCCCCCCCGTCCTCAGTGTCCCCTCCTGTCCTCAGTGTCTCCTCCTGTCCTCAGTGTCCTCTGTCCTCAGTGTCCCCTCCTGCCCTCAGTGTCCTCTCCTGTCCTAAGTGTCCCCTCCTGTCCTCAGTGTCCTCTGTCCTCAGTGTCCCCCCCTGTCCTCAGTGTCCCCTCTGTCCTCAGTGTCCTCTCCTGTCCTCAGTGTCCCCTCCCGTCCTCAGTGTGTCCTCCTATCCTCAGTGTCTCCTCTGTCCTCAGTGTCCCCTCCTGTCCTCAGTGTCCCCCCTGTCCTCAGTGTCCCCTCCTGTCCTAAGTGTCCTCTCCTGTCCTCAGTGTCCTCTGTCCGTGTCTTCAGGACCAACAGGAAGTCCTCCTGCTGCTCTCAGATCACCTTCCTGTCGTCTCGTCCTCACGGCTCACCTGGAACCACCTGAATCCTCTCAGACCAGTTCATCCTGCTGGTTCCAGTCAGAGAGCGGTCAGTGGGAGGCGTGACAGCCAATCAGGAGGGGGGATGCAGTTATTATGGGCTATCGCCATGGGAACAGCATGAAGGGGGAGGATCTGTTTATACACAGTGTGTGAACTCGCTGACGGCTCGCTGCTGTTCAGGAAACACACGGGCTGCAGGACGGGGCGGTGCGCACACACACACGCACGCACACACACACGCACACGCACATACACACACACACACTAATACACACACACACACACACACACACTAATACACACACACACACGTACGCACACGCACATACACACACACACACACACACGCACGCACACGCACATACACACACACTAATACACACACACACGCGCACGCACAGAGCAGGAGCTTCTGACTCCATATTGAGTTTTTGTCTTTAACTCACCATGACAGAAGAAGCCGCCACACTGGTGCTGTCGTCCTCCTCGCTCTGAAACAAACACAAACAAAACAACAACAAAGTCAACAAACAACAACAGAGTAAACAAACAAAATAACAAAGTAAACAATAACAAACAACAGAGTGAACAAACGATAATAAACAAAGAACACAATAATAAAAATGAACAAAAATACCAACATAAACAAACAAAAAACAAACAAAACCAACATCATAAACAAACAATAACAAAGAAACATCATAAACAAAGTAAACAAACAAAATAACAAAGTAAACAATAACAAACAACAACATGACTCGTCTGTGCCGTCCTTTCGCAGAGCGGCTCTTTAGATTTCTCTCTTTCTAAAACAGAATAATTATATTTAAATATGATTTTATTCAGTATTTGGTTTAAAAACCTTTATTTTTGTTCAAACTCAGAGGACAGAGACACAGAAACCACTGAAGACGATTAAAAAGTAAACATAGAAGAAAAAACAAAGAGGATGAAGTGTTGGAGTAAACATGGTCGGAGTAAATCCCTGCTGAGAACATGAAATCACGGCGTCTGTACACAGGAGGAGCATGTTCTGCATTAATGAAGATAATTCAGCGCTAACTCTAATTGTTTCATTATATAAGACTCGCAGTGAACCTCCCTGAAGGAGCGCTAAAGTTTAAAATCCAACGAATCCATTAAGTCCCTAAAAAGCCCGTTTGAGGTCTCAGAGGCTCGCTAAAACCCACTTCAGAGAGACGCGGCGCTTTCATCAGCACACCTGACACCTTTCTTCTGCCTCATCCTGTCACGCAGCAGATTGGAGAGGTCCGCTCTCGGCGCGTTAATGAGCGAAATCTGATTTATTCTTTTATTCTCCGCATCAACAAATCTGTTTCATCTTCACCACGGCGCCGCTCATTGTTTCCCGTCTTCAACTCGGAGTCCTCTGTGATTTCTGCTGCAGCAGGAAATCCACCACAACCTGGGTATGGAGGAGGAACCTGAGGGGGGTGGAGGCCGAAAACAGGCTCCGAACAACACCACCCACCCCCCCGTGACGGGACTGTGGAGGTCAGGGACGATCTCAGGGGCGGGAGAGGACGACAGAAAACAGGAAAACATCCGTGTGTGTCCTCCACAGAGGTCAGAAAAAACAACAGACCTGAGACAGAAACGGGGACAGGATCAACATAGAGCTGTGAGTGTAGATTCTGACTGTGAATATAGAGCTGTGAGTGTAGAATCTGTCTGTGAATATAGAGCTGTGAGTGTAGAATCTGTCTGTAAACATAGAGCTGTAAACATAGAGCTGTGAGTGTAGAATCTGTTTAAAATCATAGAGCTGTGAGTGTAGAATCTGTCTGTTAACATAGAGCTGTGAGTGTAGAATCTGTCTGTAAACATAGAGCTGTGAGTGTAGAATCTGTCTGTGAATATAGAGCTGTGAGTGTAGAATCTGTCTGTAAACATAGAGCTGTGAGTGTAGAATCTGTCTGTTAACATAGAGCTGTGAGTGTAGAATCTGTTTAAAATCATAGAGCTGTGAGTGTAGAATCTGTCTGTTAACATAGAGCTGTGAGTGTAGAATCTGTTTAAAATCATAGAGCTTTGAATGTAGAATCTGTCTGTTAACATAGAGCTGTGAGTGTAGAATCTGTCTGTAAACATAGAGCTGTGAGTGTAGAATCTGTTTAAAATCATAGAGCTGTGAATGTAGAATCTGTCTGTTAACATAGAGCTGTGAGTGTAGAATCTGTCTGTGAATATAGAGCTGTGAGTGTAGAATCTGTTTAAAATCATAGAGCTGTGAGTATAGAATCTGTCTGTAAACATAGAGCTGTGAATGTAGAATCTGTCTGTGAATATAGAGCTGTGAGTGTAGAATCTGTTTAAAATCATAGAGCTGTGAATGTAGAATCTGTTTAAAATCATAGAGCTGTGAGTGTAGAATCTGTTTAAAATCATAGAGCTGTGAATGTAGAATCTGTTTAAAATCATAGAGCTGTTGAATGTAGAATCTCTATAATTATAGAGCTGTGAATGTAGAATCTGTTTAAAATCATAGAGCTGTTGAATGTAGAATCTGTCTGTTAACATAGAGCTGTGAGTGTAGAATCTGTTTAAAATCATAGAGCTGTGAGTGTAGAATCTGTCTGTTAACATAGAGCTGTGAGTGTAGAATCTGTCTGTGAATATAGAGCTGTGAGTGTAGAATCTGTCTGTAAACATAGAGCTGTGAGTGTAGAATCTGTTTAAAATCATAGAGCTGTGAGTGTAGAATCTGTCTGTTAACATAGAGCTGTGAGTGTAGAATCTGTTTAAAATCATAGAGCTGTGAGTGTAGAATCTGTCTGTAAACATAGAGCTGTGAGTGTAGAATCTGTCTGTAAACATAGAGCTGTGAGTGTAGAATCTGTTTAAAATCATAGAGCTTTGAGTGTAGAATCTGTCTGTGAATATAGAGCTGTGAGTGTAGAATCTGTTTAAAATCATAGAGCTGTGAGTGTAGAATCTGTCTGTTAACATAGAGCTGTGAGTGTAGAATCTGACTGTGAATATAGAGCTGTGAGTGTAGAATCTGTCTGTAAACATAGAGCTGTGAGTGTAGAATCTGTCTGTGAATATAGAGCTGTGAGTGTAGAATCTGTCTGTAAACATAGAGCTGTTTAATGTAGAATCTGTGTTAACATAGAGCTGTGAGTGTAGAATCTGTCTGTAAACATAGAGCTGTGAGTGTAGAATCTGTCTGTTAACATAGAGCTGTGAATGTAGAATCTGTCTGTTAACATAGAGCTGTTGAATGTAGAATCTGTCTGTTAACATAGAGCTGTTGAATGTAGAATGTGCCTGTAAAATCCACTCTCTCTGTGAGTCCGTCAGTTTTCCGGTGTGAAGGTTTCTGTGACCTTCAGGAGTATTTTGACCTCACAGAGACGACCTGAAGGTGTCGTCTCCTCTGCAGGTTTCCTGGTTTATTAGACGACTGTGTTCGCTGCAGATGAACCTTTCAAAATAAAAGCCCAGCTGTCTTCCTGTGGTTTATTTCTGTCTGTACTTTCTTTTTCTTCCGTTTCTCTTTGCTCTTCCCGTCCCTCAAACTCCTGAACACACCCGGGTCACCCTCGCCCCACGTCAAGTGGAACAGGCACAAAGCATCATGGGTAATAATGTGTCAAAGAAGCAGAGGCGCTCCCTGAACGGCAGGATGGCGGTGAGTTAAATCTCCTGGTGTTATGATGGACGTTCACCTCCTGTGTGAGGAAGAAGAGAGGAGGAGGAGGAGGAGGAGGAGGAGGAGGAGGAGGAGGAGGGAGAGGAGGGAGAGGAGGAGGAGGAGGGAGAGGAGGGAGAGGAGGAGGACGAGGGAGAGGAGGAGGGAGAGGAGGAGGAGGAAGAGGAGGAGGAGGGAGAGGAGGGAGAGGAGGAGGAGGGAGAGGAGGAGGGAGAGGAGGAGGAGGAGGGAGAGGAGGAGAGAGGAGGAGGAGGAGGAGGAGGAGGAGGAGGAGGGAGAGGAGGAGGAGGAGGAGGAGGAGGAGGGAGGAGGAGGGAGAGGAGGAGGAGGAGGAGGGAGAGGAGGAGAGGGAGAGGAGGAGGAGGAGAGAGAGGAGGAGGAGGAGGAGGAGGAGGAGAGAGGAGGAGAGAGGAGGAGGAGGAGGAGGGAGAGGAGGAGGAGGAGGAGGAGGAGGAGGAGGAGAGGAGGGAGAGGAGGAGGAGGGAGAGGAGGAGGGAGAGGAGGAGGAGGAGGGAGAGGAGGGAGAGGAGGAGGAGGAGGAGGAGGAGGAGGAGGAGGGAGAGGAGGAGGAGGAAGAGGAGGAGGAGGGAGAGGAGGAGGAGGAGAGAGAGGAGGAGGAGGAGGAGGAGGAGGGAGAGGAGGAGGAGGGAGAGGAGGGAGAGGAGGAGGAGGAGGAGGGAGAGGAGGAGGAGGGAGAGGAGGAGGAGGAGGGAGAGGAGGAGGAGGAGGAGGAGGGAGAGGAGGAGGAGGGAGAGGAAGAGGAGGAGGAGGAGGAGGGAGAGGAGGAGTCCCAGGAGACGAGGAGGAGTGTCTGATCTTCATCCTGGTTGATGAGGAGGAGGAGGAGGAGGAGTGTCTGATCTTCCTCCTGGTCGATGATGAGGAGTCTGTGCGGAGGTGAATTAGAGGGGAACGAACACGGACATGTGGACCAATGAAAACAGCTGAACGGTGAGGACATGAATCCTGAGGCCCCGCCCACAAACACAGACAAGCGTGAGCGTTTACCGGGACAGACGGCCCCCCGGTCTTCACCTCACCCCTCACGCCTGGTTCACACAGGAAGCGCCGCGCGCGCGCGCAGCGCCGGCTCGCGCTTGGCTGTTCACACAGAAAGCGCTTTCTGCTGCGCTCTGACACACTGGTCAGACATCGACTGAGCCCGGCAGTGCTCGGCCGTTTCCGTCTGCCCTCAGTTTTCCACACTCACGAGCGCTTTAAAAATGGGTTTATCAATATTTATTTACGTTTTTATTTCGTCATACATGAATTAAATATTGGCAGCATCTTCAAGTATTGTTTTAAAATCTTATATAGGGGTAAACGACGAATAAATTGGGGAGTCTGTTGACTCCGTTGTATGTATAGCCTTGTTAGCTCGAGGCTATTGACTGTATCGTAATAAAGTCCCCCCCCCCTCTTTGTCTCAATAACATCACCGAATCTCTGCAGCTCTCCCTCCGTGTGTGTGTGTGTGTGTGTGTGTGTGTGTGTGTGTGTGTGTGTGTGTGTGTGTGTGTGTGTGTGTGTGTGTTTGTGTGTGTGTGTTCACCGGTAAAAAAATAGACCGACAAGCAACACCGTCAATCTTTTTCTAATTTATTGAAATTTACTTTATTTTGAAAATTGACCGGATTCTCTCGCATCTCCTTCCTGACTTCCTGTCTGGTCCGATCTGCTCTGTTAAGCTTTACATCGGCGCGCGCGGCTCGCGCCAAAAATAGAGAGAAGCGGAGCAGCCGCGCTCCAGAGCTCGAGCCGTTCCGCGCGCGGAAGCGCCGCGCGCGTGCTGTGTGAACAGTCTCATAGGTTAACATGGGCGCCGATCTGAAACTCTGTGCGCGGCGCTTCCGTTCCGCGCGCGGCGCTTCCAGTGTGAACCAGATGTCAGTCCTTTTTCATCCTCATGACCTCATGACCTCATGACCTCCAACGTTTAAACGCCACAGACTGAAGAGTACGCCGAGAACAAAATACCAACGTTTGAAGAAACGTAAACGGCGCCTGAAATCTTCTTCTTCTTCTTCTTCCTGTTGATCCATGAAACTGATTTAAATAAAGTCGACCTCAAACAGATCCAGAGTCACGTTCTGTGGACCCCGACCTCGTGATCCAGGTGTGTCAGTCTGACGCTGAGTGACGGTGGTTTCAGTCCGACTGACGTGTTTACGGGATTTTAACGCAGCGTTCGAGTTTCCTCAGAAGTCAGGAGTCCGAACTGAAAATGACGTCACACCCGAGTTCACAGCGTTTCAGTTACAACGTCGGAAAAAAAACAAAAACAAGATGGCGTGCTAAAGTGCTAAAATAACTCCCGTTAATGTAGCCATCTTGTTTCCGTCTCCTATTTAGCTTTTTCCTACTTGGTAAACGCCCGAGGCGAAACGTCTCAACTAAGTCCAGCTGTCCTTTCCATGCGGCGATTCCAGAGTCATGTGACTAACCTGTTGGACAACGTTGGTTTGAAATCATCTGAAAACCATAAAAATCAGTTTTATTTCCGATCATTTTAACCTTAAATGTCTTTTAAACTTCGTCCCTCAGAGTTCGGAGTTCTCAAACTCCGGTCTTAATCGTAAAAAGGCGATTATTTGTTTATTTCGAGTGTCATGGAAACGGACTGAGTGCCTCGCCACTTCATCTTAATCTCCATCAGATTTTTACTGATATATAAAAACTTTTATCTTCTGTGAAGAAAAATCGTCATAATCAGACCGACTCTCTGCCTTTCAAACCTGCCCCCCCCCTCTTCCTCCTCCTCCTCCTCCTCCTCCTCCCCCTCCTCCTCCTGAGGCCGCTCCCTCTCGTCTCTAACGAGATAATAAAAGCAGCTCCTTGTGTTTGCGGGGATGTGAAGGAGCTCCTGTTACTCCAAAGTGTCCGTCTGTTAGCAGAACAAAAGCTCCTCACAGCCTCCTCCACTCCTCCGTCTATTCATCCTGTCAAAACACCAGCGCCCCCCCCCCCCCCACATCTAACCCCCCTCCTCTGACAGCCCCCCCCACACACACACACACACACACACACACACACACACACACACACACACTCAGCAGCAGAGCTTTTGTATGCCAATAACCCGTCCTAATTGAAGACGTTTACGGGCCGCTCTGTCACACAGCAGAGAGGGCGATCAAAGAGAGGAGAGAGAGGAGTGTGTGTGTGTGTGTGTGTGTGTGTGTGTGTGTGTGTGTGTGTGTGTGTGTGTGCAGGTTCAAAGGCCGTTTAAAAGAGGAAACAATGACATTATTTCTGTTGATTACCTTTCAAAATAAAAGCCCCCGTCTTTGTGTCAGAGATCAGACAGAGATAATCAATAAACCTGTTTCAGTTCGTCTCTGATACCTGCTCAATCTTGTTTTTTTCTGTTTTATTTTGAAAGTCTGGATCCCACAGTCAGAGTTTGATGAGTCTGCGCTCTCAGACTGTTTAATCGTGTTTTTAGTTTCATTGATGAAGATTAGAGCAGAGGCTCTCACACTCATTAAATCAAATATTCATCATTTTCTCTGTTTTTGATCTTTTTTAATCAGGTAAAGACGTTCATCTCATCCGTTTGTTTTATTCGACGTGACGTCGTCCCACAGGGGTCCATTTTAGGTCCTCTTTTATTTATTATTTATCACTTCATGAACAACATGTGACACGCTGATGAGAACCTGTTAGTCATTTAAGTCACATCCTGTAATCTCAGACATGATTCTAACATTTTCAACTCAATAAAAAAAAGAAAAACTTGGAATCAGCCAAAAAAAAGCTGCAACACTTGCATTAAGACTAAGAATAGACATGTGCTGTAAATACGGCGGTGAAGTTAGTTTCAGGTTGGATATATTTTCCTGTAAATACGGCGGTGAAGTTAGTTTCAGGTTGGATATATTTTCCTGTAAATACGGCGGTGAAGTTAGTTTCAGGTTGGATATATTTTCCTGTAAATACGGCGGTGAAGTTAGTTTCAGGTTGGATATATTTTCCTGTAAATACGGCGGTGAAGTTAGTTTTAGGTTGGATATATTTTCCTGTAAATACGGCGGTGAAGTTAGTTTTAGGTTGGATATATTTTCCTGTAAATACGGCGGTGAAGTTAGTTTCAGGTTGGATATATTTTCCTGTAAATACGGCGGTGAAGTTAGTTTCAGGTTGGATATATTTTCCTGTAAATACGGCGGTGAAGTTAGTTTCAGGTTGGATATATTCTCCTGTAAATACGGCGGTGAAGTTAGTTTCAGGTTGGATATATTCTCCTGTAAATACGGCGGTGAAGTTAGTTTCAGGTTGGATATATTTTCCTGTAAATACAGCGGTGAAGTTAGTTTCAGGTTGGATATATTTTCCTGTAAATACGGCGGTGAAGTTAGTTTTAGGTTGGATATATTTTCCTGTAAATACGGCGGTGAAGTTAGTTTCAGGTTGGATATATTTTCCTGTAAATACGGCGGTGAAGTTAGTTTTAGGTTGGATATATTTTCCTGTAAATACGGCGGTGAAGTTAGTTTTAGGTTGGATATATTTTCCTGTAAATACGGCGGTGAAGTTAGTTTCAGGTTGGATATATTTTCCTGTAAATACGGCGGTGAAGTTAGTTTCAGGTTGGATATATTTTCCTGTAAATACGGCGGTGAAGTTAGTTTCAGGTTGGATATATTCTCCTGTAAATACGGCGGTGAAGTTAGTTTCAGGTTGGATATATTCTCCTGTAAATACGGCGGTGAAGTTAGTTTCAGGTTGGATATATTCTCCTGTAAATACGGCGGTGAAGTTAGTTTCAGGTTGGATATATTCTCCTGTAAATACGACGGTGAAGTTAGTTTCAGGTTGGATATATTTTCCTGTAAATACGGCAGTGAAGTTAGTTTCAGGTTGGATATATTCTCCTGTAAATACGGCGGTGAAGTTAGTTTCAGGTTGGATATATTCTCCTGTAAATACGGCGGTGAAGTTAGTTTCAGGTTGGATATATTTTCCTGTAAATACGGCAGTGAAGTTAGTTTCAGGTTGGATATATTTTCCTGTAAATACGGTGGTGAAGTTAGTTTCAGGTTGTATATATTTTCCTGTAAATACAGCGGTGAAGTTAGTTTTAGGTTGGATATCTGACGGACATTCTCTGAGGATCTACCGGTGTCTTCTCACTCTCCATAACCGGGAATAACAACAGCAGCGCGGTTAAATCTACTCGACACCCTCACTGTCAACGTCGGTGTTGAATAAGGGACCGTCAATAAATTACCGGTTGATGTTCTCAGAAAAGGCTGTTTTCCTTCAATAGCTTCACTGTCATGTGACCAAAAGACCTAAAATTGATTTCTAATAATAGTACTAAGGTCGATCAATAAGACAAACATTATTGATCGACTTTTATTGTCCTTACTTTTTCAACTTTGGAGAACGTGAAATAAGTTAGTCTGATGTTATTATTAGTTATTGTCACTGATTCATATTCTGATGTTACAAATACAAAGTTTAATGTTTATGCAGATGATAAAGTGATATAGATCTCCTCCTCCTCCTCCTCCTCCTCCTCCTCCTCTCTTCAGAGTCCATGAATGATCTTCTGCTCATGAATCCATGAACTTCTCAGGATCTCAGAGGACAAAGATGGACGTCAGATCCTCGTTAAGCAGTGAGGTAACATCTGAGATATAAATGTCTATGATGAGGTTTGATTTCTACTGTGAGGGTAAAATCTTTGATTGATTAACACGGAGGAGTCCTGCGATTATGAACGATTGATCATCATCATCAGAGCGATAAACCCAGGGGGGCGGGACTTCCTCTGTAATTACCGCTCTCAAATCAAACAGACGCCTGCGGTCACGACTCGGCGAGCGTCGGAAAATTAAATGTTGCTAAAGAGTCCGCCGAGACGCCGCCGAGAAACGTATTAAAGAGCGATGAAGAGCGCTCCAGCGGCTCATCACTAATCTTTATTACTGAGGAGTCTTTAATCCAGATCAGAGAGGAGGAGGAGGAGGAGGTGAGGAGGAGAGGGAGGAGGAGGAGGAGGAGGGATAATGTTTTTATTTATCACTTTGTGAGGAGGAGAACGACAACAAACTGAGCTCTCTGGAGCAAGAGGAGGACGATTTCACCTCCTTTTACAGTAATAAGAGGAAACAGAGGAGCACAGGAGGAGGAGGGGGAGGAGAGGAGGAGAGGAGACAAAGAGAGAAGGAGGAGAGGAGACACAATGAGGAGAGGAGGAGAGGAGACAAAGAGAGAAGGAGGAGAGCAGACACAATGAGGAGAGGAGGAGAGGAGACAAAGAGAGAAGGAGGAGAGGAGACACAATGAGGAGAGGAGGAAAAAGGAGATGAGGAGTAAGGGGACAGGGAGGAAGGAGACGAGGAGTGCGGAGTGAACCTGTGAGGACGGACATTAAAAGAGGAGAAGAAGAAGAAGAGACCTCATGTTGAGGGACCGAGTGATCTGGGTGGACCCAAAACCAGGTCCTGGTTTGAGGCCCCCCCGTGGCGCCTGTTTCCTGTCCTCTGTCCTTTCACATTAAGAGCGTTACTGTCCCTTTAAATCTCTTCACTTCCTCTTTAGAGTAAATAAATTCACAGCGACGCCTTAAAAAAACGGCGTTTGACCTTTTTTACGGGGTCAGGACCCGGTCTGGACTTCCTGATGAGTTTGATTGTCTTGATGAGAACTGAGAATCTCATTAACATCTTAATGGCGGTTTAGGGACGGCCCTGTTTTTGTGACGGCCTCGTCTGAGAGTGAGAGGAGATTTAATGAGAACGCCGTCGCCGCCGCCGTCAGATAAAGACGTGACTTTGTGTCGTCTTCGTCTGCGTCTGTTCTCCTCTCACCTCGGGAACTCGGCCTTATGTAATCCGCCCTCTCATTCACACACGCCGCCGTCTGATTGTCCACAAATGAAAAAGCCATTTCTGAGCGAGCGGCGGTGTGAAAAGAGTCGCCTGTTCGACAGCGTGAACCTCGCCGCCAAAGCGCCGGAGGGTCAGCAGAGGTCAAAGGAATTATGATTACGGCGCTCGTTGGAGGGCTCCTTATTCCCCCGAGTGACCCGTCCATAAAGAGAGGCTTTTCTTCTGAAGATGAGAGCCGCCGCCACCGCCACCGCCGCCGCTCTGCAGAACAACATCAGAGTTTTGTTAGGAGACCAGGATCGCCGCTGTTCAGTTCAGCAGGTTCACCTCCAAAGATGGAGGTCGACGTCTGATTTCACTCACTCTGTCTCTGTGACTGCAGAGAAACACGGGGACAATGTTCTTCAGCGGGCTGAGAGCGCCGACGGAGACGACGGAGACGACGGAGACGATGGAGACGGCGGAGACGGCGATCAGGAGACAGACGTGACACCGACCCTCGTGTTTACAGAGACCTCTCACCTCTAAACGTTCAAACTTCACGTCTTCTCTGAGGGGAACTCTTAAACCTCTGAACACGGGTCCAAGTACCACAGAGTTCCCAGCAGGTGTGTCGGTCCTGCAGCAGGTAACCTGTCTGTGACATCATCACTGAAGTCCCTGTGTGTCTCATAAACCAGAACACCCCCCGTAAACACTCACCGTCCTGGACGCCGTCCGCTCGCTGGTCAGAGAGATGGAGTCGCTCTTCAGAGACTGGCGGTCGCAGCAGCAGCTCACGTCTCCTCCATCGCTGCTGCAGCTCACCTGGTCTGCAGGTGGTCTCGGAGGGTCTGCGGGACTTCCTGCTGCTCCAGATCCAGAGGGCGGGCGCTGGAACAGGAAAACACAGAACACTCTGGTTTGGTGGTTCCTGGTGGATTTAAGGACTACAAGAGTGTTTGAGACCTAAGTGACCTATGACCCGAGTGATGATAGAGGGGCATCATGAGGGTACTTTATAACCTGAGTGATTACAGAGGGGCATCCAGAGGGTACATTATAACCTTAGTGATTACAGAGGGGCATGCAGAGGGCACTTAACAACCCAAGTGATTATAGAGGGGCATCATGAGGGTACTTTATAACCTGAGTGATTACAGAGGGGCATCCAGAGGGTACATTATAACCTTAGTGATTACAGAGGGGCATCCAGAGGGCACTTTACAACCTAGGTGATTAAAAAGGGGGAATCCAGAGGGCACTTGATAACCTAGGTGATTATAGAGGGGCATCCAGAGGGTCCTTTACAACCTTAGTGATTACAGAGGGGCCTCCAGAGGGCAGTGTACAACCTTAGTGATTACAGAGGGGCATCCAGAGGGCATTTTACAACCTAGGTGATTATAGAGGGGCATCCAGAGGGTCCTTTATAACCTGAGTGATTATAGAGGGGCATTCAGAGGGTCCTTTATAACCTGAGTGATTATAGAGGGGCATCCAGAGGGTCCTTTATAACCTGAGTGATTATAGAGGGGCATCCAGAGGGCACTTTATAACCCAAGTGATTATAGAGGGGCATCCAGAGGGCACTTTATAACCTGAGTGATTATAGAGGGGCATCCAGAGGGCACTTTACAACCCAAATGATTGCAGAGGGGCATCCAGAGGGCACTTTATAACCTGAGTGATTATAGAGGGACATCCAGAGGGCACTTTATAACCCAAGTGATTACAGAGGGGCATCCAGAGGGCAGTTTACAACCTGAGTGATAATAGAGGGGCATCCAGAGGCACTTTGTCCTGGTTCATCTTTTTTAAATGCAGCTATCAAATCAGTTTTCTGCACATGTTTGAGATTAGGACACCAGAGGACACTTCAGTAACGACCAATCATCTCCTCCTTCTTCTCAGGACATGACTGTTCACTGACAGACTCTGGAGTCTTTGATTCAGAACCGTTCGGACCTCAGTTTGAGCTCAGTAACAATAACAGTTCTCTAACCCAGTTCAGTCCAACGTATCTCCGTGTGTTTGTGCAGCGAGATGATATGAATTTGAACACAGCTGTCCAATCAGCTGTTTGTGAACATGTTTGACTTGAAGAGGCGTTAAACCGCAGAAATGGACCCGACATGCTTTAAACCAGCAGACATCACTTCCAATCCTCACCGCTGTCCCTCAAACGGCGCCGAGGCCCCGCCGAATTTCCATATGAGAGAGTGTTTACATCTCAGCAAAACGTCGTCCGTCTGCCTCCTGAAAGCGGCGTTCATCTTCACACGAGCCCGCAGAACTGTTGACTACAATTAGGGCCCAGCTGGCGACAGACATCAGCAGCAGCAGTTTAACATCTCCTCACAGAGCGTGATTGTCCTTTAACTGCTCTGGACTGGAGTCCCCTGAGAGCTCATTACGCCTCACTATTGTCCCCCCGACACACACACACACACACACACACACACACACACACACACACACACACACACACACACACGCACACACACACACTCGTTCATGTTAAACCACGCAGAGAGGAAAAGCCTTCACAGACACGTCACAGCCATCATGTTGATTCAGATAATTATTTCACTACAACTTTTTACTGAGAGGAGGAACAAAGACCCGGATCCTGCAGAACCAGGATTCAGAGGCAGGACCCGGGTTTACAGAGTCCCTGTTCAGCCGTGAGGACACTGAGGTTTACAGCAAAACCACAAAACCACAAAACCAGAGTCAACAACATCATAATGGTGTTAAAGTTCTTCATTGAAAGGACAACTGGACTTAGTTGAGATGTTTAGAGTAAGTCCAACTGTCCTTTCAACGGAGAACTGGAAATCATAGATGCTGCATCCTCAGTTTTAAACAACATCTCCAGGTTTAGGAGGAACATCTGCGTCCATCCAGACAAAGAAAATGAAGGATGGAGCTCAGAGTAGAGCTGCTGCTGCTCCTCCACCTTAAGAGGAGTCAGATGAGGTGGTTTGGTCATCCAATCAGGACGCCTCCTGGACAGCTTGCTGGTGTGATGCTCAAGGCACGTCCCAGGAGGTCTGGACTTCCCTGCTGACCCCCGACCTCCACCTTAATCCTGATCGTCTCCTAAAAGGTCGTATCCTCCGATCGTAGCTGATCGTAACCATTCAAGTTAACGTGTCAATTTACACCGACTTCTTTCCGTTCCTCTGCGGATCGCCGGACTCCTCAGCTGATCACAAGAGTTCGATTTTTTCTGGACGCCGGAGCATGGCGGATAAATTCAGCACAGATTAACCCGTGCTGGAAAGGAAGTCGGACACAGACACAAAATAAAACATCCGGCTTCTTTTCAAAATAAAACACTCCGTGTTTCAGGAGGATCGTATTTCACACCATGCAAACGGGCGGAGACGAACAAGTGAAAGGTTTTTAGACGTCATTTCACCCCGATGACACCATGGATGAGGAGATGCTGATTCTAGAAGTCTAGAAGTAGATTTCCTCCTCTGGAAGGACACAATCTACTGCTTATATGTCTATGTGTCTGTCTTTAGAGAGACAACTCATTATCGCGCGATTGAACGTGAATCTGAAGGTTCTTGTGATTCCGCCATGAAATTCGCCTCACAAACAGACCCGGTAGAAATCGGCGTGCGGCGGAAATCTGTGCCGTTCCAGATCGGAGCCGTTCCAGATGAGGTGGAATTCCCTGGTCAGGCTGCCGCCCCCCCGAGCTGACTCCAGATAAGCAGTAGAGGATGGATGATGGATGGATGATGGATGGATGATGGGTGGATGATGGGTGGATGTCGTAGATGTTGGGTGGAGCTGCGGTGGAGGTCCTACACGGTTGTTTCTTCTTCAGACGTGAAGGTCAGCTCAGATCTGACTCACCTGTACATGTTTGTCTCAGGTGTCTAATGGACCAATCAAACGAAGCGCTGTGCATCACACACACACACACACACACACACAGGTGTTTGATGCTCAGGTCCGCCTCCTCCTCTGATGTCGAGATGATGTTTGTTAATGTGTTTGAGGGTCCGACTGTCATCAGATCAGGAAAGACCCTCAAACACTTCAGACCGGGGGGGCGGATCTAATTGGAGCTGCTGACTGTCACGACGAGCGCCATCAAAGAGAAACCAGAGGACGACGGCGAGCGTGAAAGAGGAGGCGCCCACAGGAGGAGGCGCCGACAGGAGGAGAGCGGACTGACGGATTATAGACGAGTTAGAGTCCGTCAGAAGGAAAACACGTCACCGAGGAGAGAGGGAGGAAGGAAGGAAGGAGGGAAGGAAGGAAAGAAAGAGGAGTGTTTTCAGGAAACAGAGTCCAGAAACTCGTGTCTGTTTGATAAAAACTGAGACTCTGGAGGGATTTTCATCTGTAGTTTCAGAGTAAAGGTCAGAGGTCACTCCCATGTTTTTATAACGCTGCGTTCGAGTTTCCTCGGATGTCGGAGCTGAAAATGACGTCACACCAGAGTTCCCAGTGTTTCAGTTACTGAGTCAGAAAAAAGTAAACTGGGAGGAGGAAACCAGGCGAAGGTCACTTTAGCGCTCGCCTTATATCCAGACGAGGTTAGCGCTAAAATAACTTTAGGAGATCATCTTGATTAAAAACTGGATTTAATCTTCACAGGAACTCTGACTTTAACCCGTTTAATCCGAGACAGCATGAACGCGTTTCTACCCTCAGAGAGCGGAGTCGTCATTTTCTAACATTCTGTAGTTTTTCAATCATTTCTGGAGTCGAATCAAATCATCAAACCCGTCTGCCTCTGATCGGATAATAAAGATCAATAAGGTGATCGGATTCATGATCGGATCTTGGTACGTGTTTCATGAGGAAAGTAAACGATGATGGAGGCAGAGAGAAACATCCATCAGGGAGAACGACCTCTTCAGACTGACTGTCAGTGTTTACTGTGACTCTGGGTGAAAACAGACGTGAACAGACTATCAGACACTTATTGATTTATTGATTTATTGAGTTTTTAGTTTCTGTTTTTGTCCTGTCTCTACACTAGGGCAGCTGTTTACCCTTTAACACTTTATTTTTCATATTTACATCTGAATTAAACAGACTCTTTATTTACGGACAGTAAACAGTTTGTTTTTCTCCAGAGTCTTTGTTTTTCTTTATTCAGCTGTTTTATTTCATCAGAGTTTGTTTGTTTTCAAAGATCTGATGAAGGTTCAGAAAAATAAAGACAGTTATCTTAAAGTCACACGTGTGTAAACTCTCAGATACTACAGGCTGAGATATTTATAAACCTCAGGATCTCAGAGTCTCAGTCTGGGTTCAGGTTCAGGTTCAGGGTTCAGGTCTTACTGGGTTCATTATTTTCATTGATGCTCTCTCAGTTTTCATCCTCTCACCTGTCGTTTCTGCAGACTGATCTAACCTCAGGTCTTCAGGTGTTCAGGTGTCTGATCGTCTGTAGGACTGACTCTGTTTCTCCGCCGCTGCTGTGGAGCTGCAGAAGAAGATGGCGGTTAACTGTGATCCCCCCGCCCCCCGGTGAAGACTCCGGCCTGTAAACTGTTTATCAGACTCTCATGCAGTCCCTCTAATCCTATTTGCATTCATATTAGTTCCCCCGTCTCAGCGTCTCAGGGAATCTGAATTCTTCTGAGGCTGAAGAAGAACTTCATGCTTCATGATATCAGTATCTTCATAACTCACATCACTAAAGTCAATTTGGTTTAAGTGCTCCTCTGCTCCGCCGCCGCCACCGCCGCCACCGCAGAGCTTCTCAGGAAACTTATTTGGAGGCGGTTTGGATCAGTGAGCGCGTGCAGAGGAGGGCGGGTAATGGGATCTCTCAGAGAGCGCTGCAGAGCGGCGTTTAACCCCTCAGAGGAGGATTCAGCGCTTCTACAGAACTCAGGTCCACTTTGACCGGAAGGTCCTGAAGGTCCTGATGGTTCTGATGGTTCTGATGGTTCTGAAGGTTCTGATGGTTCTGATGGTCCTGAAGGTTCTGAAGGTTCTGAAGGTTCTGATGGTTCTGATGGTTCTGAAGGTCCTGATGGTTCTGAAGGTTCTAATGGTTCTGATAGTTCTGATGGTTCTGAAGGTTCTGATGGTTCTGAAGGTCCTGACGGTTCTGAAGGTTCTGAAGGTTCTGATGGTTCTGAAGGTTCTGATGGTTCTGAAGGTCCTGACGGTTCTGAAGGTTCTGAAGGTTCTGATGGTTCTGAAGGTTTGGGTTCACCATCAGGATTCGTCTGTTTTCTCTGATCTCCAAACTCTGAAGGTCTTCAGATCCTTCAGTAAAATAAAGACCACCCTTCGGTCTTCATGACACTCTCAGACTCTAGTCTGAGGGGGGAGACAGACCTCCGTCTCACCCAGGGAGGGAGGGAGGAGGAGTGAGGAAGAGGAGGAGTGAAGAGGAGGAGGAGGAGGAGCTGTCAGAACATCCTACCTAGAACTGATCACCGATGACTCGGGCGATTCGTTGAAGTAATTCACGGGTCAACGCGCCTCATGATGACGTAGACGACGGCGACTTCGTCTGTCTGAGACTGACTGACAGTCGACTTTAGATAAACTAATCAAATCAAGAAAATCAATCGTTAGATTAATCGATATATAAAATCAATCGTTAGATTAATCGATATATAAAATCAATCGTTAGCTGCAGCCCCCCCCCCCTCCCCCCCACTGAGCGCGCTCAGACCTGATGGAGAGACAGGAGTGTATGGTTTATTACCCATCATCCTTTGCTGTTCTGGACTCACCTCCTCAGCCTGAGTGATCACCAGAGCCGGGACCGCCCCCCCTCCAGGCTCTAGCTGCAGGTCCTGGTCCTGGTCTGGGGTCCCAGACTGATCCTGGTTCTGGTTCTGGTCCTTGCTCTCATCCAGGTCCTGGTCCAGGCCCTGATCCTGGTCCTGATTCTGCTCTAGGATCTGGTCCTGGTCCCCTCCATTATTCTGGTCCTGTTCCAGACTCTGGTCCAGGATCTGTTCCTGGTTCTGATTCTGTTCTAGGATCTGGTCCAAACCATGACCCTGGTCCTGGTTCTTGCCTTGGTCTAGGTTCTGATCCTCATCTGGATCTATGTTCTTGTTGTAGTGCTGGTCCAGGTCCTGGTCCTGGTCCGAGATTGGTTTCTCCCGCTGCTCTGCCTGGTCCTGATCCTGGTTCAGGCTCTGGTCCTGATCCTGATCCTGCTTCAGGCTCTGGTCCTGGTTCAGACTCTGGCCCTGATCCTGCTTCAGGCTCTGGTCCTGGTTCAGGCTCTGTTCCTGATCCTGGTTCAGGCTCTGGTCCTGGTTCAGGCTCTGGTCCTGATCCTGGTTCAGGCTCTGGTCCTGAGACTCTGGTCCTGATCCTGCTTCAGGCTCTGGTCCTGGTTCAGGCTCTGTTCCTGATCCTGCTTCAGGCTCTGGTCCTGGTTCAGGCTCTGTTCCTGATCCTGCTTCAGGCTCAGGTCTTGACTTTGGTCCAGGCGTTGTTCTTGATCCAGGTCCAGGTTCAGGTTCTGATCTTGACCAAGGCCTGGGTGTTGATTCTGGTCCAGATTCTGAGGTGGGACTGGGTCTACATAGAGAAGAGGATCAGGTTTAGAACCTGGACCACATGAACACATTAATCTTCATCCTCAAACTGAAGTGAAGTGAACAAACTGAAGAACCGCTCAGTGTGTGTGTGTGTGTGTGTGTGTGTGTGTGTGTGTGTGTGTGTGTGTGTGTGTGTGTGTGTGTGTGTGTGTCAGAGAACCTTTAAACCCTCATCCTCGGACCAGCACGCGGGTCTCTCTCTCTTTAAAAGTACCGGTGTCGGGAGCGCGCACGAAGCGCTCTCGTTCCCGCGGATCAAAACTCCGTTAAACTGTTTCTAAACTGTCTCCCCTTAGGTCCGCACCTGCGGTCCTGCTCTCTTACAAACTTACACACTTACCTGCAGCCGTCTGCACGTGCCCTCGGGTCCTCGCGCCAAACCGGGCACTTCCTGGTCACGCTGTAAAAAGCGGTAGTGGCGCGGTTTGGAGGGTCATGTGACCAGAGGAAGACACCATTTAACTAAATCTGATTGACTGAGTTCTAGCTGACGGGAGGAGAGTGTAGTTCTGCCTTTATTAGAAATATCACTGATATAACATGTAATAATTAAATGTTTTTAATGATTTAATATAACTGTCTGTCTGTGTGTGTGTGTAGGTCTATAGCTGTTGCCTGTTAGCTGTTTATTGTTTATTTATGTAAATTCATGGTTAAAATTATTCTGGAGTAAACAGGAACAAAACTGAAACTCTGAGGTTTGTTACAAAACAAACTAAAATCAATCAATCTATGGTTATTTAAATTAATCAATCTGTGGTTATTTAAATGTTACATAAACCGAAGACTGAATGTCAGGAGTGAGCGAGTTGACTGTAGCAAGATGGCCGCCATATGCGGACGTCGGTCTCCACTGGCTAACAGCAGGTGTGAGTCATCTAGAGTTTATATCTACAGTTAGGAGGAGCTTCTGTCCCGGTGGACCGGCTCTTTAAATCAGATTTTTCCGTTTTTGTCCTGAAGTCTAAAAACTTCTGCCGCTGGTCCTGGTCTGAATAAAAAACCAGACCAGTTTTTCAGCTGACCCCCCATCAGGTCTGAAACAGAATCACATTTAAGTTTGTATTTACCTGTTTCCTGGTCCTGGTCCTGATCCTGACTGTGATCTTGGTCCTGACCCTGGTCTTGGTCCTGGTCCTGACCCTGATCTTGGTCCTGGTCCTGATCCTGATCCTGACTGTGATCTTGGTCCTGGTCTTGGTCTTGGTCCTGGTCCTGACTTAAATCCAGATGCTGGTTCTTGTTTTCCTCCTCCCCATGGTCCTGATCTGGGTCCTGTTTCAGTCCATGATCTTCCTCCTGACCCTTGTCCTGATCTGAGTCCACTTGAGGAGACTCGGGTTCCTCACAGGGACCTTCAGGACTCTGTTGGACCGGCTGGTCCTCGGTCTTGTTCTGAGGAGGATCTGAATCAGGTTTCTGGTCTTGACCGTCTTGTAGACTCTGGTCTAGATCTGCTGTGTCTGGGTTCAGGTCTTGTACCTCCTCGGACTCGGGGTCCTGTGGCCGGTCCTGTGGGTCTTCCTCCATGGTCCTGAGAGTCCTGGTTCAGGTCTGGGACAAAGAAAAGACTCAGTGATTCTTTAGTTCTCTAACGGTCCAGAAGAGTCTGTTTGGTTCTGGTCTTTGTTCAAGCAGGACCCGGATTTGTCCTGATCCAGACCCAGTCTACCTCAGTAGGACAAACTGAGGACCCGGTCTGAGAACTCTGATCAGGTCTTAGGGTCCAGGTCTCAAAGCTTTTAGAAAATACTGAACTGATCTGGGCTGAACTCCAGGACACGAGAACATCGGAGAGACGACAGGACAGGATATCCAAGGACATTTTAAGGACATTTCAGGACGTTTCAGGACTTTTTAATGACATTTCAGGACATTTTAAGGACATTTCAGGACATTTCAGGACTTTTCAATGACATTTCAGGACATTTTAAGGACATTAAAGAAGATTTCAGGACATTTTAAGGATTTTTCAGGACATTTTAAGGACATTTTAAGGACATATCATGACATTTTAAGGACATTTCAGGACATTTCAGGACTTTTTAAGGACATTTCAGGGCATTTTAAGGACATTTAAGAAGATTTCAGGTTATTTTAAGGATTTTTCAGGACATTTTAAGGACATTTTAAGGACATATCATGACATTTTAAGGACATTTCAGGACATTTCAGGACATTTCAGGACTTTTTAATGACATTTCAGGACATTTTAAGGACATTTAAGAAGATTTCAGGTTATTTTAAGGATTTTTCAGGACATTTTAAGGACATTTTAAGGACATATCATGACATTTTAAGGACATTTCAGGACATTTCAGGACATTTCAGGACTTTTTAATGACATTTCAGGACATTTTAAGGACATTTAAGAAGATTTCAGGTTATTTTAAGGATTTTTCAGGACATTTTAAGGACATTTTAAGGACATATCATGACATTTTAAGGACATTTCAGGACATTTAAGAAGATTTCAGGACATTTTAAGGATTTTTCAGGAGTCTCCATGGACCTCCTTCAGGCCTGTGATCACGGTCTAACGTGGTCTCTGGGTTCTGGGTTCAGTAGATCCTGGTCCTCAGTAAAGTGGTCTCCGTGGACACGTTGGCGTCTCGGTGAGGTGTCCCCGCCCCCTCAGGGATCTTTGTGTTTTTATTTTCAGACTCGGATAATAACGATTAATTAAACACACCGTCTCTAAGTAACCTCTGGACGCCCCCCCACCCCCCGCCGCCGGCTCAGCTCATTCATGATGCATTCTGGGAAAACAAACGAGCGCTCCTTTCATGTGGAACTCCTCACAGAGAGTCGGAGCGCCGTGGAGAATCAGCCGAGCGGGAACTTTAGGATCTGATAAAACCAGAGCTCAGAGTCACTTCAGGGGGAGGTCTACAGGGTCCTCCTCCACCTCCTCCTCCTCCTTAATACCAGATGGAGGAGGAGGAGGAGGAGAGGAGGTGCATTCACCTTCGCCTCTGTGCGGCGCCGTAATGAAAGCT